TAAGGAAAAAACAAAATGATGGGATGTTGTGATTTTAGAGCCAGTGAGTAGTTTGAGAGGTAGAGCAGTTGGCAGTGGGGTCTGAAGTTCAAGGCATGAAAGAGGGGGAGGAGGCTGAGCTAGAAAGAAGCAAAGGGACTGAGGACAAAAGAAGCAGGGAATCAGAGGACGAAGGCCCAGGGAACTGATGCTCTGTCCCTGTTCGTGTTCCCATGATGATGGCAGGGCTTAGGAACAGAGAGAGCCATGGGCCGGGTGCCAAGTGTGTGCTGAAAGGAAGGTGTGATGGGACCTTGGAGATGGCAAGTAATAAGGGGGAGGGAAGACAAAGGCATCAGGGCCCCAAGCAGGAGGGTGCTTTAAAAAGACATCAGAGAGATAGCTTTGGTGCAGCCACTGGGTCCAAGCAGGGGAGCCACACCCTCCTGCCTTGGAAGAGTGACCAGGAATCAGCAGCCCTCTGGAGAGAAGGCAGGGGAAGCAGGTGCTCAGGCAAGGACAGAGGATCTCAGGAGCAATGCACAGTGCGGGGAGCTTGCACGCTGCAGGCAGAATGCTGGTGGCAGAGGCCACAGTGGGAGAACTGCCGATGGTTAGAAGCCGGCACAAGGGCACAGATGACAGAGTGCCCCCTGTGGTCTGTTACGGAGGGGCGGGGCCTCTGCAAGGGTGCAGCAGGGAGGTGTGGAGCCTGGCTGACACACACTGGAATGAGGAGTCCCTCAGAGGTGGTGGCCAAGAGAACTTCTCTCCCTCAGCTGGACCAGCGGGGAACTCCAAAGCAGCCAGCTTTGCACTGCAATTATAAATAGGCTCATTCTCTCACCAAGTACTTACTCACCACCACCAGTGCAGGAACAATTCAAGGCTCTAAGGGATTTGAGAAAGTTAGGCTCCCATCCTTGCCCTTGTGGCGAGAAAGCAGACGATAAACAATGGACGTAATACATATGTTCAGTATAACGTACTGGTGATATACACTATGGAAATAATGAAAACAGAGCAGGTTAAGGAATTAGAGGGGAAGGTGGAGAAGAGGCTGTAGGATTAAATAAGGTACCATCAGTGGTCTGTATGACCAGATGCCACTGGGACAAAAATCTGAAGGGCTGAGGGATGAGGCCAACTGGATATCTAGGGGAAAAGCATCTTCAGGAGTGGGAAGAGCCAGTACAAAACACCCAAGGCAAAGCTTTAAAGTGAAGACATCACGAGAGGTCAGAAAGAAACCAGGTGCTCTGTGAGTCCCTCCCTCCTTCTGGAGCTCAAAGGACATGGGAGATTCAGGGGACTTGAGCCATGGGGTCACACAACTGGATCCTTGTCAAAAGACCACCCTAGCTGCTCCATTGATGCTTGGAGGGAGTCAAGGGGGTAGCAGCTGTGGAGGTGACAGGAAAAGGGTCTGATTCTGAGCCTGTGATTTTCTTTACTGTCTCTTCCACCGGTTTCCCTACTCATGCCTGCCTTGTCCCCACTGCATCCCTAGTACCAAGTGTCCTTCAGTGTCCTGAGAGTGACTAATGTCATTCATTCACTTCACTTTATAAATATTTACCAAGCCAGGCATAAATATAAACAATGCTCTGACCAGAAAGACAGCAATCCTCTGGGAATCATAATTTCTAGGCCACCAGAGACAGTCTTGGCATTTAATAGAACATTGGGAACCTCCTGCAGGCCATGCAGAGAGAATTCCAGTGTTCAGATTCAGCCCAACAGTTCATCAAAGAAACACAGTCCATTGCCCAAGTCATTTGGAGCTCTCTGTGAGCCTCTTAGAGACTATGAAATGGGACCTAATTTACAATTCAAGGCACCCACTTCTTTTTTATATTTCTTTTTTCAAATGTTATATATGTTTGTGATACATAATAATTACCTTCATCTTGGGGAATTGGTAGGGATACATATCACATCTTGATCAATTCCTTCCTTCCTTCCCTAAGTCCCCTTTCCATCTCTGCAGAATATATCTTCCTGTTTGCTACCATCTCTCTGTTATTTTGTTCTTTAAATTATTTATATTTCAGGTTTCTCGTATTAGAGAAACCATGTGATATTTAACCTTCTGTGTCTGCTTTATTGAGACTTAGCATTATGGTCTCAAGATCCATCAATGTTCCTACAAATGACTCACTCCATTGTGTATATATGCCACATTTTCTTTATCGACTCATACGCTGATGGGCATATAGACCGCTTCCATAATTTAGCTATTGTGAATTGTGCTGCTATAAACATGTGCTTGCATATATCACTGTAATATGATGACTTTAAATCTTTTAGGAAGGTATCCAGAAAAGCTGCAGCTGGGTCAAATGGAATTTCTGCTTTTAGTTTTTTTTTGAGGACTCTCTATGCTGATTTCCATGGTGGACACCGCCTTCAACCCCTTCCCAGTCTATAAGCCCCTCCCTCTCCCCCCAGCCCCACTTCCATTTAAGCCCTTTCTTGTTTCCTCTCACCTCTCCAGCCACTTTCCAGATTCAGCATCCTAAAAAGCAAGGAACTGGGCAGACAGGATGTGTGGCAGACCAGGGAAGGAGTAAGGAAGGAAGTAGGGAAGACAAACACATAGAGGATGCTGCTGACACACTAAATTGCCCACTCACACCAGACGCCGTCCCTATGGCCAGGCCACAGTCTCTCCCATTGCCTTAGAGAGGCATTTGTGGTTTTTTCCCTGCCCCTGGGTGTTTCCTGTGGCCTGTTGCACACTTGAGACCCAGGTTGGGAAGAACCTGGCATAGGGTAGGGGGACAACCATCAGCATAACTGCTCTTCGTCTCCCGCAAGGATGACCTTGGTCTCCTCCTAGGGAAAGTCCTGTACAAGCCCCAGCTGAACCCGTGTGCCCTTCAGATGCCCTGATCTTACATCCAGAACCAAATATGCCCTTCAAAGCTCTGGTGTCCTCATCGGCAGAACACCTCGTAAGGATAAGACGAGACAATGCGACAACATGTGTGCCTGGTACATTTTCATTGCTTCATAAATTCCATACATTGTCATTACTCTATCTTTCCCACTCCCAAATTTCCTCTGTTGCAAGATAATAAATTCCTGGAGGATGGGCTGTGTCTTATCTTTGTGTACCCAGTGGCTAATGAAGGGCCTGAAATAGAGCAGTACTTATCAATACAGAGTAAATTGATGAAAAGTAGTGCAGGAATTAGGCCCACAGGATTTTTGGTTTACTCTTTTGAAGAAGTTCTTACATTCTTAAAGGGTCGGTGCAGGGTGAGTCTGGCCCTTTTTTATCAGACTTCTCTCATCCAAGCCCCAATCTTCGGGTGAGGGATGCTGTGGAAAGACTGGGTTAGACAAAATGCCTTGGCAAGACTCCACCTCATGGACTGAAGTTTAAATCTAAGTTCACTGCATGCTGAGATGCTGGTTCCCTGAAGCTACATTTCCCAATTGGCATTCTAGACAGGAGTGAGGCAGGGTGAGAAGGAGGCGACAGGGAGGGTGGGTAGCGGGAGGTGTGGTGTGCTCAGGAAATGAACTCCGCCATCTTGTTCCGCCCCCTTGGAGGATACAGGCTGCTTTGGCCACCAGGACAAAGCGCTCCTGAGAAAAGATAGTGAGGATCCAACAGCTCCCTCCCCTGGTGCTCTATCTGCTTCCAGTTATCAGTCAGCCTGAGAGGAGATAAGACAGGCTGAAAACTGTCTGGGCCCCAGCCACAAGTAAGCACATAATTAAAAAGATGCTGCTGGTCTGGTGGAAGGCAGGGGAGCATGTGAGGATCTTAACAGGGACATGAAGAAGACCTAGAGGCAAGGAGTTTCCTTCTTTGAGGAAGAGCAGAGGAATTAACACACATTGGACAGACTTTCAGATGGATGGCCTTTGGAGGTTACCAGCTACCTGCTTTTGGAGGCTTGACCTGGGTCCTACCTATATCAGAGAAGAAAACCCAGTGAGAATCTGACCTTGAATTTGTGTTCTGCGCACTTGTGTGACTTTGTTTCCTTTCCCCACCTCTCAAAGGCAGGCAGTTTGTTCAGGACAGAAACCCACCTCTAGGCCTGAGGACCCTGCAGAGGGAGCCCAGGTTGACACTGAAGGATGAGGAGAGGGTTCCAGATACAAAGCGAGTGTGGGATGAGCCTTCCAGGAGGAGTCGCAAGCCCAGAGGTGGAGAGAACAGGATACACTTGATGAATGGAAGCTTCAAAGAACAGTAGCAGTGGTGATGGCTGTGGATATAGCAAGGAATGACCACAAAAAGCCACCTTGAGGGCATTAGTCTGTATCCAAAGAGTAATGGGAAGCCACTGGGGGCAAAAGGGGTGAGAGAGTGGCATGGCTGGGTCCATGTCAGAATATCCCTTCTGGTCACTGGGTAGGAAATAAATTTCAGCTGGGAGAAGTAGATCCAAAAGATCAAAATGAGCCGAGATCCGGGTAGAGATGGTGAGACCAGGGTGCTGGGGACAGAAAAGAACAGACATGAATGGGTGCAGGAGCTTCTTCAGACAGAGGTCACAAGCCCCGGAGACTGCGTATGAGGAGTGCTAAGAGACAGAAGGAAGGGCACACCTGGAGGAATGATGGCGGCCCTCACTCTGGTGTGTCTGCAGTACCCGGAGATAGGGGTCTGTCTGGGTGAGCCGTGCCAGGGCCCTCACTTTACAGAGGAGAACCTGAGGGTTAGGTATCATGGAACTCGCAAAGGATGAGGCAGGAGCCCATCCTAGCACAGACTGCAGGAGGATCTCCTGGTTGGACAGGAAGCTGCTCCGGCGCTATCCCTGACTGTGAGTGAACCCCAGCAGGCCTCGGTTTCTCTACCCGTGAAATGGAAAGAAAGAATGAGGACTTCTCTTGGGAAATGTTGGTCATGATCATGGACTTGCTAACTGGGAAGTCCTTGGGGAAAATGAAGAGACTGAGGCTCTGACTGCCAAGGGTGGGGGCAGGGTAGGGAAAGTGTTTTTGGAAGGAATGGAGGACCTCTCCCCACCTCCTGCCTGCCCTGTCTCCTGCAGGCCCTGAAGGCTGAGTAGCTGGCGGGATGCCTGGCCTGCTGAACCGCATCACGGGGGCAGCCCTGCCCCTCACCGCATCTGATGTCACCTCCTTTGTCAGCGGTTACGCCCTAGGCCTGACCGCCTCCCTCACCTATGGTAATTTGGAGGCTCAGCCTTTCCCGGGTAAGAAACCCTGTTGGGGCTTCGCCAAGGCCTCACCCCTGCATGCTGAGTGGCCATTCTGACACCTACTGGGTGATTGACATTGGGCAAGTGAGGTCACTTCTCAGTTTCCTTATCTGTAAGATAGGAATTCCATGTCTCCCCACAGGGCTCAAAGCCCATAGGAGGAGGGTCAGGATTTGAGCTGTGGAGCTCAGCCCCAACCCCAATCAGTTGTTCCAGCACTTGGGACACAGATATATTCACCAAGCCAAATGGTCAGTGGTGCCCTCTCTGCAGGGAGCCTCTCCACAGGAGGGGAGTCAGGACTCAGCCAAAGCCAGGAGACCCAGCCATGAGCTCTGGCTCCTATGACCTTGGGGAAGCCCTGGTCCCACATGAAGTCAGGATGCTCCGCTCTACCTGTCCAGATGCCAGAGGGTGCAAGGAGCAGAGAATGAGGTAATGTAGGAGGAAGGGCAGTGGGGACAGAATGACAGTCTGTGAATACAAATCATCAGTGTGAAGCCGTCAGGGTGGGGACAGAAGGTGGCCTGCCACAGCCATTTGTAAATCAAAGGCCTCTCATTCCACAGAGAAGGGCATGGCAGAAGGCTGTGGCCAACATGCCCTTCTCCTTCACAATGATGGGGTCTCCTAACCACTAAACAACCTCCCATCCCCTACCCTGTCCTATTCCAGGGCTGTCCTCAGGACTAACCTGGCTGAAGGGAACCCGCACAGAGACTTTCTTCCCCTTAGAGATCCGGGCAGAGCAGATGGCCCTGCTGCTCTGTGTGAGGAAATCTGGAGAAAGAGACTTACAACAAGACCCACCTGAACAACTTGAGACAGCTCTGTCCTCCAACACAGGAGAAAGAAGGGCTCACTCACTCCCATTTTATAGATGAGGAAACTGAGACTCAGAGGGACAGGAAGTCAGGGTCTGTGGAGGGCTTACCAGGAAGACAGCAAACTCTGGATTTGCTTTTTAAGAAGACCCCTAGGTGATTTGTGTGCTCTTCCAGTTTGAGAAGCCCTGAGATATAAAAATAGTGTGGCGCATATGTGGTAGGAGGCATGTAGCTTAATGCATGGTGGTTATTGCTTTGTTGTTGTTGCTGTTGCTGCTGTTGTTGTTGTTGCCATCGTCATCGTCATCATCATCATCATCGTAGTCGTCGTCATTGTTGTTTTTATTCTCATGGGGTGATGAGGTTTAGAGAAGCTACGTGCCTCATCCTTGGCTGGGAGACCCGACAGGGCCTCTAATAATTTATGTCCTCTAAGGGCTACCCTGAGTCCCATCCTTCATACAGGTCAAGGGCTCAGATTCTTTGCCAGGAGCAGGGACTGCATGCAGAGCAGGGCTGGGCACTCTGCAATGCTGGACGCCCTCCCACAGGCCTCTTCGTGTATCTGCTGGATGAGTACACCACGGTGATCGGCTTTGAGGCAGTCATTGCTGACCGTGTCGTGAAGGTACAGATCAAGGACAAAGCCAAGCTGGAGAGCAGCCACTTAGATGCCTCCTGTGCCCGATCCTGTACTGTCACAGGTAAGGAGACCCAAAGGGTCATAGCAGGGGCTGGGCTGGAGGCTGCTTGGCTGGAGCCTTGGGCAGATGGCTAGGACAGGGATGCAATGGGCTAGCAACAGCACTGAATCAGAGCCAGGAGTCTTGAGATGGGATCCTGTGTGACCCTGGGCCAACCATTAACTTCTCTGAACCTGGAATTCCTTACCTGTAGAACAGAGCAGTGTTCCTGTTTTTGCCTCTAAAATGTGGCGAGGATCAAAGGAGGGCAGGCAACAAAAAAGTTTTTGAGGCTTCTCTAGAGAATAGAATAGCAAGTCCTTTAAGCTCAGAGGCTGTAGAATGAGTCATCCCTGGATCTGACTCCCTAGCTTGTTGCTTACAAGTGATGTGAGTTTAGATAAGAAATTAGCCTCACTTATAGAGGGAATAACTATACACCCAGTGCTCAGCCAAGGCAGTCCATGCAGAGCCCTGACAGCACAGTAAGTACCCAAAGAATAACTATGAGTAATGCTATGGAGGAAACTGAGGCTCAAGGAGAGACAATGCCTGGCTCAAGGTCACACAGCACACCAGTGGCAGAGCTAGGGCTTGGACCCAGACCAAGTATAGTGTGATTCCGACCATGGGCTCTGTGACCACGGTGAAGTTTGTTGACCTGATCATTAAGATGTTCAAGAATCCTTCAATGAATATTCACCATGTGTCAGGTGCAAAGTTCCCCTCAAGTTGTAATTTTTCACGACCTGGAAGGATAGGTGGGACATACTCAGCAGCACCCAAGATGGGAGGTTGAAAAGAAAGGTCTCCATAATGTTAGAGGGGGAAAGGCGGAAACAGATTGGGACCAGGGAAGTTTTCCTGGAGAGGCTGAAGGATAGGTAGGAGTGGCTACGCAGAGATAAAGGAAGGAGTCCTTCACGTAGGAGGAAAGAACACGATCAGAATCATGGATCCCAGAGGTAGGGATGCTTCAGCTGGGTTTGGAGCAGGGGGTAGGATTTGTGGGAAAGAAATGTGACCCTCATGAGGTGGGGGGTATGGGTCTAAGTCCCCCACTCCACACAGGCCTGGAGTCAAGCCCATGTGAATTCAGATCCTTGTCAATGTGTTAGTCATTGATTGACTTAGGCAAGTCACACCTCCACCAGGCCTGCTTTCCCATCAGCAAAATGGGGCTACTCAAACCTCCCCCCACAGCAAACTTTGAGGGGATCAGAGATGATATGCACAGCCCCTGACGCCAGCCTGGCACTTAGGGAACATTCTGCAAGAGGGGGTTTCCATCACCCCTCATTCCTGCACACCGGGAAAGGTGGCCTTGGATGAGGACTTGGAGCGGGTCCTGTTCGTGGTCAACTTGGGGACCATCACCCCCATGGAGAATGTCACCGTCTTCATCAGCACCTCATCAGAGCTACTGACGCTGCCCAGCGGGGCTGTGAGAGTCCTCCTGCCTGCCGTCTGTGCCCCAATGGTGCCTCAGTTCTGCACCAAGAGCGCCGGCCCTTCCAACCCACCAACCCAGGGGTAAGTGGAGTCCATCAGGCCAAGGGAGCAGGTGCAGGTGGGGGGGCAGGGAGTAGAAGGTGGGGCTCCACAGAGAGTTGTCCCCTTTGGAATAATTTGCTTCCCTTCTTCAGAGTGCTTTAAAATGGCCCAGAAAGGTTCCCATATTGGTGCTGGCAGTAGTGCTACGATTTGGACAGCTGGGAACCTGAGTTCCCAGGTTTCTTTTTCAATTCACTTAAGAGGTATTTTCTGAGCACCTACTGTGTGCTAGACACTGAGCTGGGTGTTAAAGATAGGGAAAGAAACCAGCATGGTCCCTGCTGTTTAGGAACTTGGAGGAAGGAATCATTGTCCATTTTGAATCTAGCTAGGTAACCAGTTGTTACAAACATGACTATATAATGAATTATATGAAAAGTGCAATGAGGAAGAAGTTCTTTGGGCTGAGGAGACAAAAGAAAACCTGGTGTCAGCCTGTGTGTCTAGAGACCAGGCCAGGCTTTGCTGACAGCTGACGATGAGGAGGATGCAGGCACAGAGAGGTACATTCTGGCACAGAACAGCAGCAAGAACAAAGGCCCTCAGGTAGCAAGGACAAGGCTCCAGTCAGGGGCTGAAGCACAGGTGGCATCCAATGAGGCTCCAACGCCTGGGACACTCTTGTCCTGGCCAAGACTTTGGATTTCTCCCCAAAGCCCCCAACAAGGAGCATTTAAAGGGTTTTCAGCACAGCAAGAGGAGAACGAAAAGCCCAGTAGCAGGACAGTTCCTCTGTCTTCTCCTGGTGGAGTAGGAGGGAAAAGGAGAAGGGTCATGGCAGAGCCTTCAAGGCCAGAATGAAGACACCTGGCACACAGAGCAGATGGTGGCACGAGACACTCTCAGACCAGAGAACACCAGCTCCGTAAGCACTGCCATTGCCATTGCCATTGCCTGCAAGCCTTGAACAGGAGGCTCAGAAGGCCCTGGTGGCCTGGGGCAGTCCTGATACACTTCTTCCACATTGACACCAGACAGAGAATAAGAAATCCATATGATACCAACTGGTAGTGGGGCCATGGAGAGAAGGCGACACTAGCCCACTGCCTATGGAAGCTGGACCCAGAAAGTAATCTAGCAATACTCAACCCCTGTCCTTGACCCAGGGACACCAGAGAAACCCTTCACACAGCCAAAGGCTACATGAGCAAGCGTATTCATGGTGGTGTTATTGCAGGTTCAGGGAGGCAGGGGCAGGAGCAAATTAGTACAGGGTAATGGGCACCCCCAAGTGGCACCATGTCAGCAAGAACGTTGGTTGATGGCCACCTGGACACAGCTTAAAAACATAGTGACACATGACTATAATCCCAGCATCCTAGAAAGCTGGGGGAGGGGGAGCACATGTTCAAGCCCAGCCTGGGCAACTTAGAAACTCAAGGAGACACTGCCTCAAACTAAAAAATGAAAAGGGATGGAGATGTAGTTCAGTGCAAAGGCTCTGGGGTTCAATTCCCAGTACTGAGAAAAAAAAGTTGAGTAAGAAAAGATATAAGAGCGTGCATAAGAGTCATAATAACATGTTCTTGTCCACTTAAAACACAGCCACCAGAGACCACCATGTATTTTACCAGGATATACGCACACTTGATGTGCAGCAAAGACTGGGAGGCTGTGCCTATGAAGAGGAGCAGAGCAGGGTCAGAGACAGACGGAACATAACACAGTGAGGGCCCAGAAGCGAGGGCATTCCCGCAGGTGACAGACACTGCACTGAGACTGTTGTTTTTGTTGAGTGGATGAGAAAGCCAATATTTAGGGTTAGGGTTAGGGTTATCCAAGGGCTCCCAGCTCACAGAGTAGGGAGGGATTCAAGGAGCCGTATGATGTGATGCAAAGCATTAGACTATCGGGCCAGGCAGCGCCGGGCCAGGTTGTCAGCTGCCTCACCTCACCGAGTATCAGCACCCCCATACAGGCTGGGGTGGGGGCTAAGCCTTCCTTCCGGGGCTCTGGTGAGAAGGATGAGAGTAGATTTACTGGAGCACTGCACCAGTACCTGACCTCTCACGGTGCTCCTTGGAGGTAGCCGTGACTTCTCTTGGCATGCTGGCCCTCCTGGGGTCAGGATGAGTGGGAGGGTGAGGTCCGGGGGTAAAAGGGAGCCCTTCAGGCCCTGGGTGGCTGGTGCCCCAGTCTCACAGCCCTCCCTCACGGCCCCTTCCTCCACGGGCCCCGCCTCTGTGTCCACTGACTCCTCCTCCTCCTCTCTATGGCACATTCCCAGCAAAGAAACGCACTGCTATGGCACCCAGGCCCTGGACTCCTGGAACAAGCTGTGCCTGGCAACTCTGCTGGACACCGAGGTGTCCAACCCCATGGAGTATGACTTCAGCTTCCAACTGGAGATCCGGGGGCCATGTCTGCTTGCAGGTGACAGAGAGCTGCCCAGATTGGGAAGTGGCAGGGAGGGATCCCCAAAGTGGAGAGGGCTTCCGACCCAAAGCTGTGGGGAGAAGGGGGAAAGGGAGGGCAAGCGAGCCCACTGGCCCAGGGTGGAGACAAGCTGGAGCAGCAGAGCTGTAGGACCCCACCCCCATCGACTTCCCAACAAGCAGCAAAGATGAGCCCCGCTCTGGGACAGCTTTCAAGGCTGCTCCACTCCAGTGGTTGCAATGGGAAATATCCCTCGGGGAAGCATGGCTCTTCATCCTCTCCTGGAGACCACAGCCATAAATATCCTCCCTGATAGCACCCGGGGAGCTTTCAAACCTACAGCAGCCAACCACCACCCCCAGAGACTCTCAGGTGTATGCTAGGCCCAGTTTAAAAACTCCCCCAGGCGATTCTGACACAGCCAGGGCTGAGAACCATCACACTGATGCTTCCCTCCTGTAACTCCCTCCGGGTTTTAAAGGACTGGACTCTAGGATGTGGTTTCTTACCAGCATGTATTCATTTCCATGCAAAGCACATTCGGGGAACACCCGCAAAAAGCAACCACCCATGGAGCATTGAGCTCTCTCTACCTGGTTGCTTGCTAGGTGCTTTGTGTGCCCTGAAAGCAGCTCCCCTGACCCTACTAGATCCTGCAATCAGGGCAAGAAGAGCCATTAGACATCAGGCTATCTAGGCCCAACGTTTGCAGATGAGGACACTGTGGAGTCCAGGCCTCGCCGACACAGAATGCCAGGAGCCTCTAATGGGGTTGGCATGTCAGTCACCTCTGGTATGGGTCTTGGTATCCCCCAGTCAGCTTCTTCCGCTCCAAGGGCCCCTGAGACACCATGCCCATTTTCTGTGTTGCTCAGGGGTGGAGAGTCCCACACATGAAATCCGCGCAGATGCTGCCCCATCTGCACGCTCAGCCAAAAGCATCATCATCACCTTGGCCAACAAGCACACCTTCGACCGGCCCGTGGAGATCCTCATTCATCCCAGTGGTACGGTGCCCACAGGGGAGGGAAGGCCCAGCCAGGACAAGGGTCAGGGTGGTGCATGGCAGAGGGGAAGGGACCAACCACTTGTCACCTGGAAACTTGGCTATAGCTGCTGGAATCGACTATCCCTGGTTCTGATCCCAGCTTCAGAAGCCCAGGGTCTCATCTCCCCACTGGGCATCTTGCCTCTGGCTCCACTGAACAGAGGTTCTTTGCAATTCTAAGCTCAGAGAGACCCTGGCAACTCTGTACCTTCAAGGAGCAACTCTGTCTCCTGAAGAATTCAAAGCATTTCAGGAGCTGAAAAGATTCAAGAGTTCTTTGGGCTGGCCCCAATTCCATTTTACACATGGGTAAACTGAGGATCAAACAGAGAGGAGAGTCATTCATGGGTATTAGGTTTTTCCTGGCTAAGGGGTCTTCCTCTACCACATACTATTTGAGGCATGCAGCAATTCTACCCCCTTTTCCAACTAGGAGCCCACCCTCATGAAGATCTTGCCCCTAAACCAAGGCCCTTGGCATTCCCCTCCCCATACCCTGGACAAGTTCTGAAAGTTGGTGTCATCTCACAGAACCCCACCTGCCACATGTCCTGGTGGAGAAAGGAGACATGACCCTAGCAGAGTTTGACCAGCACTTGAAGGGGAGAACCGATTTCATTAAAGGGACGAAGAAGGACAGCAGTGCGGAACGGAAGGTGAGCCAGTGTGGCCGAGCTGGGGTGGCACTGGAAACTCTGGCTCCGTGAACACACGTGGACACTGAGTCTGAGGTGGGGACTAAAGTCACACAACAAGCTGGTGGCAGAGCCTGGACAAGAAGTGTGTATTTCCAGGGACTGGGGCATTGCAGGGCAGGTGGAAATGGACTTCCAAATGCATCCATCAGCCAAAGGTGATGGTGTGCACCTGTAATCCCAGCACTCCAAGGGCTGAGATGGGAAGAAAGCAAGTTTGAGCCCAACCTGAGTAACTTAGAAACTTAATGAGACACTCAAAATTAATAAAGATAAAAATATAAAGGGCTGGGGATGTAGCTCAGTAAGATGGTCCTGTTCAATTCCCAGCACTGGGGAAAACAAATAAAAACACCAGAGAACCTGTCAATCTTCCACCTCCACCTAGGTCACCTTCTCCTAGCACCAAGGAGCTTAAATCAGCCAGAACTTGCAGCTGGTGGCAGAAATAGTCCTGATTCTCCAACCAACTCCATCCCTACTACTGTGTGCCCTCCTGGCTCTGTCTTCGCTTCCTAGGACTCCATCTTCTCATCTGGGGCCCTCGCTTGCTAGTACATAAAGGAAAAAGATAAAGGCAGAGCCAGGAGAGCCTGAGAGAGCTCCTCCATCTCTGCCTTCCCCTTCCCGCTCCATGAAGCTAAGGGATAAGCAGTCCTGGAAGGAAGGAGGGGCAGGGAAGCTGTAGGAGACTGAGCCACATGCTGCACCTCTTGATCACTCCCACATCTGCCCTGCACACTGAGCAGCACCCTGAAGGCCAAGTTGAAGAACGATGGGACCCCCTTTGTGGACAGAGAGAGAACTGAGGTTAGCACTCAAAGACAACTAGTGAGCTGCCGGAAGAAGAGGTTTTCTGCCTCAGGAGTTAGATTTGGCGGCAGTGAGGCCTAGGAATCAGAATCAATTACGTGGGACGCAGCTTAGCTGGACTTAGCAGCCCCTCTAGTTCCCTCCTGGCCTGGCTAACACCGGTGGGTAGCAAGGAGGGAAGTGGACAGGAAAGTGTGGACAGCTCACTGCTCTTACTGTCCCTATTGTTAGAGCCCCACTGCAAGCACCTGCTGGGTGGGGGGCAGGAGGGATGGCAGAGGGCAAGTGTGGGTGACTTGCTGCCTGTCACATCGTCTCTGTATTTGGAGACCCCCCCACCCAGAAACACCTGCTCACTCAAATGAATCAATCGGGAGAAGCTTGAGCCAGGTTCTCAGAGTAGGGGTGGCAATTTCAGGGGTACAACTGAGCTCTAGGAAATGCAGAATGTGGCGGGCAATGGGGCTCCCAGGCCTGGCACTGGCCATCCAACCTGCCAAACCTTAAATCAATTATCTCTGGGGCTGCTGCAGCAATGAGAATTAATTTGCCACCTTGGGTTGGTTATGCAAATACCCTGTATTCTCATGAGCTCCAGGGATGACAGCGATCAACCCGCAGCTGCTAAGAAGTGATGAGTTTATTGTAATTGGATAATGGCAGCTTGAGGAGATATTAGAGAATCCTGAGCCCAGGCGCCCACTCATCCCTCTGCAAGGCAGTAATCGGGTTCCTGGAGGTGACTCCTTTCACTGGCAGATGTGACTGTTGCTGCCTTGGGCTCTGTCATCAGAAGAGCCAGGCTGGACAGTGGCTTTTGACAAAAGGGCTCCATGTGGGAGAAAGGGTGAGATCCCCAGGAAGGAAGTCTGATTGGGGGCAACCAGAGGACAAACATCACTCAGGAAGCATGGGTGGAACAAGCTGTCAAAAACTATGATTTAGCAAAGAGAAGACAGATAACACAGAGGGAGCCACCATGTACAGGAGACAGAGAGTTCTCAGAGACAAAGACTGAAAAAAAAACATGCACATCTAAGTCCACGGCAGAAAAAATGACCCACACAGGTTCATTCTCTCATTCATTCAATCAACACTAAGTGTCATACGCACTGTTCAAGACATTAGAGGGACGACGCTGAAAATGACACATTCATTGTCTTCTTGGAGCCTGTATTCTAAAAGAGGGAGACAGACAAAAGTAAACAAATGAGCGAGATCCGTTTGGAGAGGTATGGGAGAAACAAAACACAACGATATGATCATGAGAGACTGACCCTGAGTGCCAGGAGTTTAACAGATATCTGCCTGAGCATGAGACCTGGTGGGTGGTGAAGAGCACACCTTCGGCAGAGTGGGCAGAGAGAGTGCAACACATGCAAAGGACCGAAGCAGAATAACAGCAAGCTGTCTAGCAAACAGAGGCTATTGTGGTAGAGACGAAGCGAACCAGCAGGCAAGGGTCAGGCCGGTGAAGGCTTCATCAACCGTGGTGTGCAATGCGAGGGGAGGCTGTTGCATAAGCAGGAGAATGCCAAGAAGGACCAATGTGGCCACTCTATGCAAAATGGACCTTGGGAAGGAAAAGTGGAGAAAGAGGCCAGTGTGAGGCAATTGCAAACGTCTATCGAGAAATCTTGGCCCGAACTTGGGTTTTGGCAACAGGGAGAGGAGACATTCAGGCTGTCTTTTAGCTGCAGCACTGCTGACTCTCTGCTGGACAAGGGAGCAAGAAAGGGGAAAAACAGTCACTAGGGCTTTGGGTAATGTCATCTGCTGAGATGGAGAAGGGCCCCAAATAGAAACTAAGACACGGACAGGAAGAGACATGTGCTCCCAGGGAAACAGTCAGATCAAGAGACAGAGAGGGAGGAAGCCAAGTGAGAACGGAGGAAATGAGGTCTGTGCAGAGTGAGATGAGCAGACAGCCAGGCAGAACAGCAGCATGTGACCTCAAGGGCTGTGAGGAGGCCATATAAAAAGATGAAGAATGAAAGTGCTGTGCATACTGATCCATCTCCAGCCAGGGACTCTGTTAAGTCCTGCAAAGAATGCAAAAAAGACTAAGGTGATCCCTGCCTTCAAGTAGTCTGGAAGCTAGAAAGGAGGCAAAGATGTAACACTCTGCTTTCAGGGTGGGAAGGGCCATCCCAAGGCAAATAACAGTATCCAAAGTAATAGTAATGAGGGCAATTACTCCACCAGGTGGCAGGCCTCCCAAGTATGGCATGGTCCATTCTGTAAGCTATGCACTTTTGTTCTGTGAGGTATGCATGCTTTCCACAGGTGAGGAAAGTACATGCATAGCTCCTGTAAGATCTGGGAAGGCTTGTCATACACGTAAAATTTGAAGGATGAGTAAAAAAATTATCAGTGGGAGAAAATTAGCAATTTATCAAGGAAACTAAGTTGATAGCCAGGATGAGTCACAGAGTGGTTTACGCACTGAATGGAAAAATGAAAGAGACCATTAGTCAACTGAGGAGGTCCACATTTGGGCAGAAACTCAACTCGCCCTTAGGATCAGCCTGAAATGTGGATGTATTTGCCCCATTTCATAAAGGAAGAAAAACCAGACGAAGGACTTTCTCAGGTTCACAAAGTTGGACAGAGAAAGAGCTGGGATTCAGGCCCAGGTCTTGCTGCCTGCAAAGCCTAGGCTTATTGCTACAACCTGTGAATGGCCAATGGACAGAGGGGCCCAGAACAGCTGCTTTGGGGGTCTTTGGTGCAGAGAACAAGTAAGATCTAGACAATACTTGGTAAGTGATGAAGGACCAGTATGTGTCCCAAGAGGTATCTCAGGACCCCATGATTGCCCAAATCAGAGGGTTTCCCTTTCTCCTCCAGACAGAAATTATCCGGAAACGCCTCCACAAAGACATTCCCCACCACTCGGTCATCATGCTCAACTTCTGCCCTGACCTCCAGTCTGTGCAGCTTAACTTGAGAAAGACACATGGAGAATTCATCTTCCTTATTGACAGGAGCAACAGTATGAGTGGGACCAACATGCACCGTGTCAAGGTACCTGCCATGATGCCCCCTCCCTTGGGACCTGGGTTCCAGGGTAACTCAGCTGCACTCCCCAGACCTGGCTTCCCCAGACCTTTCTATTCCAAGAAACAACTTTTTAAAAATGTATCCATATATTTAAAAAATAAAAATATAACAGGATAAACAAAGACACCAAACTCTATCTGTTCCCAAAATAAAATCCTTCAGTGATGTGAGCAGAGGCAGGACCATTGTCCACTGAAGTCACGAATGAAGTCATCCATAGCTGCCCTTTGCATTCTATAAACTTCTGTGGCATGCCTGCTCTGGATAAAGCACCTCACTAGTCCTGAGTGGGAAGGGATGCAGAGAAGATGGGAAGGAAGCAAACACTTTCTGGTCTGTCTAGAAGGTCTGCTCTGTGCCAGATACTGTGCAAACCATGTAATACAAAGCGTGGTATTTAATCCAGACAATAATCCTTGGAGGTTGGTCCTATTGTCACTGATTGTGAGAGTTACAGCCATCTACCCAAAGTCACACTGTTAGTAGTCTATGAGTAAACCCATGTCTACCTGACCCTCTACCAGTTGACATCAGATATTCATTGCACACAGCATGGACCAAATCCAGAAGAAAATATTGGCATTTCTTTTTCTCAAATGCCTAGAATGCAAAAACCGTTGCTGCCCCCAAGCAACCTACAGTCAAGTGAGGGACACAGGCAGAATGCCTGGAGCTTGACCTCTCTGCCGAGGAGAGCTCAGCAGGAGTGTGGAAGAAAGAGCAATAGAACTCACCCCGCCCATCCGAAAGTATTCCCTCCCCCAAGGGAGATTATTCATCTTGATTATGGCAGCATCCAATGCTTCCTTGTATTTTGACTTCTGTAGATCTCTCTCTTCCCATCTGGAGTTATGAATTCATTAAGAGAAAGAACCAGATATTTCTCATCTATCGCTCCCCATGGGGTTTAGCTCTGTGTTTATGTATAAAAAGGCTTCAGTCTGTTTATTGGACTGGGTAAAGGATTGTAGCTCAAGAGAAAGAGGGACGAGGCAACAAGAAGAGAGTGGGGTTCTTCTGTCACCTGAAGATTCATCCATCTCCCCACGTTTATCCTTGGAGGAGGCTCTTATTTCCAGGGCAACAGGCTCAGCAAGGAGAGGAGGGGTTAGGCAGCATCTGTGAGGCCAGCTACCTCCTCATCCTTGCCATGGCTAGGCTGTGTCTTGAAGTATGACAAGGAGCCATAGATGAGACCCAAGGCCCAATTCGAGGCATCTTGACAGTGTAGGACTAGTTGGAACCTTCTCCCCACCCTGTCCACCACCAAAGTCAAGAATAAGGGTGCCAGCTGTCTGTGGTGCCAGAGTGCTAAGTCGCACTCCAGGCCTATAGGGCCCTCCATATTCTATTCCCCAGCTAGAGTGATTTGTGAGACAATTCCTCAGCTATGCTAGAATGTCACAGGATTACACACCTAAAACGCTCCTGAGGGGCATTTCGTCCGTATCCTCTTCATTTACTACATAAGGAAGCTGGATACAGTGCTAGTGAGGGAGCATGAGCCTTCTGTATCTTGGCCTTGGTGTTCATTTTCCTTCCATTACTTAAGGGGAAATTATCCATTTACTTCCGTTTATAAAAGCCCTTCTCTGATTATATCATTTCCACTGCATGACATGGTAGAAAAAAGCAATGTATGGGGTCTAGGATCAATTCTACCACTAGACTATGTGGCTTTGGACAAATTGATTCCCAATGCTGGCCTTCATTTGTCCTTTTGATAAAATGAAAAAGAAAGATTAATTCAGGGAGGGCAAGTATCTATTGCCTGTCCCTCTGCGTCCCTCTCCCAACCCCAGGCAGACATCAATAATTTATCTTGCCTTTTTTTTTCCTGCTAAGCCTGGACTTAGTTTCTCTATAATGTCCTCATTCCAGCATTGCGGGCAGTTACTATCAGTTAAATAGAATTGCTTTATGAGTAGAAATCCATTCCTTTAACTGAAACCCTTTCCAATCTTTGCACTCCAGAATTCTCCGACAAAAACTTTCTCTAGCTCACCTTTCAATCCCTCTTCCTCTTGGAGTCTCCTTTGCTTTTCTCCAGCTCCGTTCACTAAACTCAAGGTCGTCCTTCACAAATGGCTTTGCATGGGTACAACCCGTTCTGCTAAACACGACCCTTTGAAAGAAAAGCACAGAAATTGCTCAGGCCACACACCTCTTTCCCCACAGACAATGCAGCTACTGGGGTGTTGCTTGGGCCATTCATTGCGGTCCGATTGTATTGAAGTTTCAGGAGAAACTGGGCTTAGGGAAGAGGGAGAGAATATAAATCCAAACAGCTCATGCCAAAGAGGAAAGTTCAGCCAATTTAATTTCCTGCAGCTGGTCTCATTCTTCAGCTGCCACTTGCTGCCAAAAACATGGCTTTAAAAATTCTAATAGGTGTGAGCAGAGACAATCTGTATGGATCAGCAGAGTCTCCTGTAGCAGGAATATACATTAATGGCTAATGAAAAAAAGCAGATATTGACTTCCTTTGCAGAGACACAAAATGTATTGACAGAAGCAATGAAGAGAGACAGAGAGGAGGCTCACGCGAGTGTTTAATGTTCATGTTTGCAGGGGGGGATGGGAAAGAGGCTGTGGGGCTGTGGAGCCTGGAAGGTTGTATGGTGTGAAAGTTGCCAGAATGCATTGGCAGCTGTTTGCTTCTAGATTTTGGAGGATGGCAGTTTGTTTCCCCGAAGCCATGCTGAGATCCCTCGGGTGCCATCAATAAACTATGTGGGGGTGAAGGAGAGACATTTATTTCCCAGCTCTGTGCCAAGGCAGAGCTGACATGAATAAAGACTTAAGAGCTAGATTTGAAAGCCAAGGTCATATGCTTAGGTTTTATGATCCAGTGCAATTCTTTGCCCCTCCCAAGCCTCAGTTTCTTCATCTATAAAATAGGATTATTAAAACTAATACATATCTCCTTATTGAATGTTTACTTGTTTTAGGTTGGGGCTCAGTGGGGTGACACAACTAGTCCAAGGTCAAGTCAGTCATGGTAAAAGTGGTATTTACACTCAGATAGGTTTTTACTTTAAATTTGCATTAGTTTAACCATTGTGCTAAAATATAATCAGAGATCAAATGTGATTTATTTTATTTAAGTGCTTAGTACAATGACTGGCACATGTGAAGCACTTGATGTTTATCGTTGGGATGTGTCATAATTGTCATCACTTTTGCTTCTGCTAGTAGCCACCACCTTCTCTGTTATTATTTTTTCAACATTCTTTTATTGCGGTCTTCTGCTTGTACCTAGGTACATACATTGAGACTCACTAATATTCATAGAAATGGGAGGCAAAGAGACACAGGCTTCAGTCCTGGATCCTATTTACCACCTGGGTGCTTGTTAACAAGTCACTTTAGCTCTCTGTGCCTCAGTCTTGTCTTCCATACAATGGGGATGATAAATGTGCCTGCCACAAATGTGCCAGCTATTATGAAGATCAGCATGGTACTGCACATAAAATACATCCTTTGCAGTCAACAAACGTGAACTGAAGAGACTGTTCCTAGGGTTTTATCACTGGTTAATGATAGCTTGACTCTGATTCAGAGGCCCCGCAAGGGAACCAGAAGCCACTCCATCCACAGTGTGACCTGCACCAGCCACTTTCCTCCCCCAGATGTCATTTTGGCTTTGGCAGAAGAGAGTGGCGCTCCCTCCTCCTAGGGTCAGCAAGGGGTGAAATGAACTGGCCAGCCATCGCAGAGTGGCTTTGAGAAGTCAGATTGGCTACATGGCTGAGGGGCTTTATAACAGAGGCTCTGATCCAGTCTCTGATCAGAATCAGCCAGTTTCATGATATAAAGGACACAGAGGTGCTCGGTGCAGACAGCAGGTGACAGGCCCTTTTGAAGGTGGCTCCTAAGCTGGGATGAGAGTACTGGTGCATGGTAGCAGGAGCCTTTGCCCAAACCTGAAAACTCCTTTCTTGCCCACCAGGATGCCATGCTGGTGGCCCTTAAGAGCCTCATGCCAACCTGCCTCTTCAATGTCATTGGATTCGGATCCACATTTAAGACCCTCTTCCCTTCCAGCCAGACCTACAATGAGGTAAGAATGGGGAAAATCTGGGACCATAAGAGTGATATGTGGTAGGGAGCAGAGGGGAGGAGAGGAAAGGGAAGAGGAGGTAACTCTGGGACCAGCCTCAGAAGTTCCTGACCCATAGAGAGCCCAGGTGACATCCAGGGACAGAAAACTAGACAACCCCTCTCTGCTTAGGCAATTCCTGGTGTCCCAGCCTTCTGACATCTTCCCTCTTCAATAAAATAATACACTAGGTAAAGCGAGTGCACAGAGGTGAGGCCCAGGGAGAGAGCAGCGAGGAGACAAGTCCATGGCCTGTCACCCTGAAGCTTCAGTCTCATGAGGATAAGGGACTCAGGCAAGGTGGAGCTAAAGAAGTGAATAGAGGACCAGCTCAGTAACACAGCGCCTTCCTGGCAAGAGGGAGGTCCGAAGTTCGATTCCCGGTTCCAAAAAAAAAAGCAAATGGAGAGACCGGTGCTGAGGGGCCGTGGAAGCAGCTATGGATGGAATCCACAAGGCTCAAGCTGCACAAGAAGGCTGTGGCCCTATAAACATATTCAAAATCAGAGCATCTTACCCAGACCTAGGAAGAAGAAAGAATGAAGGGCAGAAGGAAGGAAGGGCAGAAAGGATGGAAGGAGGGAGGGACGCGTTAGCTACTTTTCTACTAAAAGTAATATTGTGAGTTTCTCAAATATAGGAATGGATAATACATGTTGACTGTCTCATAACTTTAAATCTAGATAATAAAAAAATTTTTTAATCTCCTATGATAACATCAGTCAGGGAGAAATAAAAAAGAAAAAATACTGTAAAGAGCACAGTATACCCCCCTCCAGATTTGGTTCTATGCATTTACACACATTTTCAATCAAGGTAGGATTAGGCATTCCACACTGTTCCATCCATAACCTACTTCCCAAGCTATCATGAACGTATTTTCATCCCAGAAAGTATTAATCTGCAATGTAATTGCCTAGTATTGCACTATACAGGCAGACTCGGACTTATTTCCAGAAGCCTTAGAGTTAGGCATTTAAGTTATTTCCACTTCTTCCCATTTAGTCATCTTTGTATTATAGATTCCTCATGCATCCTTAATTGTGCCCTTGGGATACATTTCTAGTCTTGCTGATTCAAAAGCTACATATACATCATCAGACTCTTGATATGGGCTATTACTTATCAGACCCTTCTAAGCGTGGACGTCAGAACAGCACCTCCCTGAGCCAAGGGCAGGATGACACACGTCCAGCGGAAATAACTCTTGCTACAATGACATCCGCCCAGTACCAATAATCCTTGGCCAGTTACGTCTCAAAGTGTTGGTCCAGGACAGGGGAAATCTGAAGTCCAAACTGGGAAAGCAGTTTCTGCAAAGTGTCCTAGGACATCAGTGCCAGAGTCAGCCTCAGGACTCAAGGTTGATGTTTCCCAGGCGAGTGCTCTTTCTTCCCCATCACCCGCCTCCCTCATCAGAAAAGAGAACGTCATTTGTGCTGAGGAATTAGAGACCTAACTTGCCACCTTTTCCAGAGGTGCTTATATTTTAAAGAGGAACCCAGAAAGGACAATGTTAAGTCACTATATCACAGTCAGCAGAGTGTAGGTTACACCAGAAAAGCAGCCACCTGTTCTCCCCACAGATGGAGCAGGAACGAGGCTGAGCAAAAAAGCAGGGGAACAAAGAGCTATGCCTCAAGGTGGTTTAGAGTCTCCATATCACGGGGTGACCCCGGGGACTGTCTCCCTCTTCCACAACCCTTCCCTGCAGGAGAGCTTGGCCATGGCTTGTGACAACATCCAGAGTATGCAGGCTGACATGGGTGGCACCAACATCTTTTCCCCTCTCAAGTGGATCGTCCGGCAGCCAGTGCATCAGGGCCACCCACGGCTGCTCTTCCTGATCACGGATGGCGCCATCAGCAACATCGGGAAGGTGCTGGAGCTGGTGCGGAACCACGCCTTCTCCACCAGGTGAGTCCAGGCTGGAGGTCTGGGGTCCTGTTATTCCCAGCTGGGGGCACCGGAACCGGAGCAAAATGTGCATAATGACGCAAGGAAAAGACAGGGCCCGTCGTTCCCAGAGTGCCGTGCTTGCAGGCTAGTGTGGGCTGCTTTCCAAGTTTGCCTTTCATTCCCAAAAGTTCAGGAGTCGGAAGTTGCCCACACCTCTGCCTATAAGTCCCAAAGAGCAGCATAGGAAGAGGCTGCCCTGACTGCGCGGGCTGGGAGTACACGGGCTCTCCGTGTGTGCCCCTGCCCATCGGTAGCGCTTCTTCCTTCTCCCTCTCCCCCTGCCTAAAGCAGGTCTAGCTCTGAGCTGTCTCTGCTGGACCAGGCTTTGTCTCTTTGTATCATTCTGCCCCTCTCAAAAATGCAGAGGGACTGGCAAGTAGCACCGTCTGTGTCCCTGCCCCCCAGGTGCTACAGCTTTGGGATTGGACCGAACGTCTGCCATCGACTGGTAAAAGGGCTGGCATCTGCGTCCAAGGGCAGTGCCGAGTTCCTCATGGAGGGGGAGCGGCTGCAACCCAAGGTAGGAAGAAGGGCTTCCCAGTCCCTTCCCGTGCTGGAACCTCAAAGACCCAGACAAGTCAGACAGAAACTCAATGGCAGAACTGCTATTTCAGCCCAAATCTGAGCTCTCCAGGAGGCTACCCTGACCCCCCATGAGAACCAGAGAGGAGGAGGCAGCCAAGAGCAAGCGACTCTTAGAATAGCCCTAGGACAATGAGGTCCTACTCCACCCATGGTCAAGCACAGCTACAGAGCTGTGTTTGGGGTCATTACTGACCACCTTCCTTGTGATGACAAATAATGGCTCAGAAGAATCTAAAAAGCCCCAGTATTAAAGAGTCTTTTCTCTGTCTTCCAGCAGATTTCTCACAAATAACCTAACCCTTAAAAAATCCAGGCCCCCTCCAGGGGAAGAGCAGAACTTAGGTTAGAGCAAAGAGGCTTATTGGGAGGTAGCGTCTGCAAAAGATAGAAAAGGAAGCAACAAGAAGGGGAAATCTTCCAGCCAGAAGGCAGAGCCAACACTTGTGAGAGGAAAGAAGGAAGCAGACTGGGCAGGGAGACTCTCTCTGCAATTTTGTGCCGTGGCCTTGACCAACCCAGTGGGGCGCTCTGGAGCAAAGATTGCCCACTTGAATGTCTATGCTGAGCTGGCTTGGCCACGTGCTAGCATCACTGTCAAGCTCAACCACTGGCAAAGGGCTTCACAGGGGAGATGTGATCTTGGCTTAAAAGCTAGGGCACTGCATCCCTGCAGCAATGAGGCATGGTCCTTCTTGAAGGGACAGTTGAGAGTATATTCATCACACCCTTTAAGGAACCATAAGCCTTAATCCTTTTCTCCAAGTTTGCCATATATCCAAGAAAATAGCATAGGGGATATTAACCCACAGCTGCCATCTATTGAGCACCTACCATGTGGCAGATACTTCATGTCCAACGTCTCATATAATCCTCCAGCTCTACCTTCCCACTTTAACCAAAGGGGAAACTAAGGGCCAGAGAAGCAAACTGACTTGCTTAAGATCACTATCCAGCCCATTCTCTGACCCAAACTTTCTCCTTGTCCTCGAACTAGTCACTTTGAGCCTTGAATCTTCTCCTTTGTAAAATGTTAAGCTTAGAGAAGACAACAGCAAAGATCTATTCCAACTCTAAAGAGAAGACAACAGCAAAGATCTATTCCAACATCCCAGGAATTCAAGAATCCAACCTATGGCTGGGCAAGTGAACCCAAGACCTGGCGGCTCTTCCTTCTGCCTCATACCCCTTTTCAAGCTCATACCCATATGATCTTTATGCTCCTCATCTGCACCCCTGCTATGTTCTGCCCCTGCCCAACAGATGATCAAATCCTTGAAGAAGGCCATGGCCCCAGTCCTGAGTGACGTGACTGTGGAGTGGGTCTTCCCTGAGACCACTGAGGTCCTGATATCACCTGTCAGCACCAGCACCCTCTTCCCTGGAGAACGGTTGGTGGGGTATGGCATTATGTGTGATGCCTCCTTGTACGTCTCCAATCCCAGATCTGTAAGTATTCTAGAAATTCCTGGGGCCAGTGGGGTCCAGAACCCATGACCACAAACCATCCTTAGCTGGAATTCCATTCATGGCAGCTAGGAACTGATTGGAACTGGATTTACAGTTGTAGATACAGTTGGCAGGCAGTGGGCGTTTGATAGTGATGCTACTTAGGTGAATGCCACCGTCTCAAAATGTGGTTCCAAAGAGGCCCTGCAGAAGAATCACTTGGGAAACTTGTCTAAACGGCAGAGCCAACTGGACAGCAACCCTAAGTCAGGCAGCCCCCACTCCACCCCCTGTTGCCACACAGGAATGCCCTGTGTTAAATACACTTCCAAGAAAAACTGGAATTTTATATAAGCTTCTACATTTTTTCATGCTATAGAGTTTCTTAAGAGTCGTGATCAGGGTTATGTTATTGATGCCAGAGCTTCAACAAACACCCCCACACACACTAGGAGGAACTCGACAAAGGCTCCAGGTCCATTCTCCTTTCCTTACTCTTGAGACTGAAATAATTTTCTTCTACCACTTGTGGAGATGTTGGAGAAATAGCATCTTCATTTATTGTGGGTAGCAATATGACTTTTCAAAACCCTCCTGAAAAGCAATCTAGAAATAACAAAATTAGAAATATATAAGACTTTCAACCCAAAAACGCCACTCCTAGGAATCTAACAAGAGAAATAAAAGTGATGTAATATACTTATGACAGCAGATTTTATGGTCACAAAACTAAATGACCACAAAGCCAACAACATTAAGGGTTAGTGGGACATTATAGAGTTGAATATTAAAGAGATGCAGGATTTCCAAAATATTTTTAAGGGCCAAGTTCCAGATACTAATAAATATAAGTAGTGTGATCCAGGTTTTATAAAACACAAATGATCTCTAAAATCATGCATGCATATAATTTATATAGAATAAGATGTTACTTACATATCTGTTTCTTTGTATGTTTAAGTCCTGAGGAGTGGAATGAAGGAACCAGTGGTCCATTTTGCTCATTTTACTTACCTCTCTGGAGACAGAAATGATGTTTAGAATTACACTTTTAAAAATGTTAATGAGTGAAGTCAATAATTTAAAATGTAAGCTACATAATTGATATGAAAACATAATTTTTTACCATCTCTTGAACAGAAGCTCACCTAAACTCTCTAAGCAAACATCTTCCCATTCTGCTGGTCCTTCAGGCCCCTCGCTGCCCCGTGGAAGTCCTTCCTAACATCAGATCTCACTCCCAGCCCTCTGCCCTCCTCCCTCCAGGACAAGAGGCGAAGGTACAGCATGCTGCACTCCCAGGAGTCTGGGAGCTCCGTCTTCTACCACTCTCAGGATGAGGGAGTCGGCCCAGACAGTGGAGACTGTGCCAGGAGCACAGCGGCCCCCTTAAGCCTGGGGCGGGCCAAGGATGCCTGGCCATTCGGTGGAGACTCCAGCACCAGCCATGGTTGGTCTCTGTGCTTTCTGCCCTTCTCCATTCTGCCCTTCTCCCATACTGATTGCTACCTTATACTGAGTTCTTACTGGGTGCTCAGAACTTTATAAAAACCATTGCCATGAACAGTTAGCAGCTGCAGAGGTGAATCCCCTTATACCTGTTTTATAGATGAGGAAACTGAGACTTGGAGGATTTAAGCAACCTGGCTAAATTACTGGAGCTTGAAAGAGGCAGACAAAGTACAGAAAGACAGTCTAGACCTTTTTGTACTCCAGTGCCTCTTCTGCGTGTTCGTGTCCATTCAAAGGCCATTTACCAATTACTCACTAAGGCTAGTTACTGAGCACAGTGTGAGGTGTAACGGTGACTCACACCTGGCACCTGCCCTCCAGGTACTCTCCATCTGGTGAGATACAATCGACCTTAACTCTAAGAGAAGTGGAGTGGCAGGGGCCGCAACTATGAGGACCGTAGGAAGAGAAGCACTCAACCAGCACTTCACCCAGGGGCTGATGGGAGGGGAGAGGAGCCTCCAGGAATCAGAAAGGGCCCGGGCAAAGGTGGAAGTGTGATGCTCAGGAAGTACACAAGAGTTCACTCATCTAGTTTGTGCACAGCACACTGTGCCTTCAGAAGGGAACACAAGGGAGAGCTGCTGGGAAGAAGATGCGGGTCAGATAAGGTGAGCTTCCAAGGTTCCGATGCTGGCGAAGGAAACTGCACACATTCCAGCTGGCGCTCAGCGAGGAACTTAGGATGTTTCCAAGCAGGAAGGAGGTATGCAGGCCCCTCTCCTTCCCTGATGACTTCTCGCTCACCTCCCCTGCCCAGGTCTGGACCTCTCCCAGCGACGGAGGGCGTACAGCACCAACCAGATTACCAACCACAAGCCGTGCCCAAGGGCCACCACTGCCAGTGAGCCCACCGTATCTTCCAGGAGACACCCACTGCGGAAAGCCAAGCTGCAAGACCTCACTAATCAGACCAGCCTGGATGGCCAGCGGTGGCAGACTGATTTGCAGGTACCCACGCTAGGCAGGCTGCAGAGGAGCTGGGGGAGCTCACGGTGGGGGGAGAGCTGTGTCCTGTGCCTCAACCACAAGGATGAGGCTGCCCATCACTTCCATAGATAAGTTGAGTACTTGGCAGAACACAGAGCCTAGAGCTACCTGACCTCATGACCCCTTTATGGTATTAGTTTCTGTTCAAAGTAGTATTTATGAATTACCTAGTGAGAATAGCCAGCCACTAGTTTAGGAAGGAAGCCATTCACTCCCTCCTTCCTCCTCTGACCTTCATCTGTCCGATCCCAATGATACTTCCTAATCGAGATACCCACTGAGTAATGAGATCCCATTCCCTGCACACGGCACTTCCCAGTCAGCACTCAGCATCTGCATCTACTGTGCCATTAGATTTTACAGCACCCTTGGGAGAGTAGGGGGCTTGGGGCCCAGCCACCCCCAGTCGGTACACATGTGAAAATTGAGAGCTAGAGAAGTAAAGCAACTGACCCAGAGTCATAGAGTCAGGCAGGGAACCACAGGCCGGGACCATCTGCGTTGCTTTCACGTCCATCACCCTGCTTCTCCTGCCAATCTCAGCGGAGAGAATTGGACAGTCAGAGCCACAGCCGAAAGGATCACCAGTGTTCCTAGACCAGGGCTGCTCAGCCTCAGCGCCAGTGCTAAGAAAATGCCTTGCTGGGGGAGGGGTTTGCCTCCCGGAGGCCAGTAGTAACAATAGCTCCAGTCACGCCAACCAGAAATGCCTCAGACACTGCCAAATGTCCTAGGCAGGGGGCAAAATCATCCAGAACCAACTGGTGGCCAACCCATTTTCTGAAGAATGAGGTTTACGTAGATTTGGCATGAGTCCTTAAATGCAGCCCTTCTCTCTTCCTGATGCTGCTGCTCACTCCTGGCCACCATCCCCCCATCCTCTCTGCCTCCACATCCGCAGGCCACATGCTGCCGCCTTGTCCCTGAGGCTCTTCTCTGTGCTCAGCCAGGGACCACTCAATGAAATCAGAAGGCTTTGACCTTGGAGTCAGGCAGACTTTTCTCACCCAGGGAACTTCACCTCTCTTGGTCCCAGAAGTCCAACCTGTGATTGGGCCACTGACCATTCACGGATGTTTAGTGGGAGCCAACTCTAAGTGGAGGACTCTTCCAGGCACTGGCTCAGCCCCTGGCACACAGTAGGTGTCCTTCAATGGCAACAGCATGGACAGGGTTGCTTCCTTCCCTTCACCCTGCTTGTTCGTTAGCTATTCTGGCCCATCTCTGCTCATCTCTTCCCTTACACCTGCCTGTGTGCCTGCCTGGTTTCTTTCCAAATCTGATTCTTCCCCCACATGCTTGTATACACACACATACACACACACACAAACACACATACACACACACACACACACACACATGCACACTTCCTGCAGCCCCTGGCTGGGTTAAGGGCTGGATCTTAGACTCATCTGTTGTCATGGAAACTATAGCAGCTTGCAGTTTTTCATCTCTCTGACCCAGTGTAGTTAATGGGGAGTTGAAGGCAGGGGTGAGGGCAATGCCAGTCTCAGATGTAGGGAAGAGTTGGGGTTAAGGATCCTCTGGGACCCAGCAGTCATAGCTAGAAACCAGCTTCCACAGAGGCCATCCTAAGAGTGGCTAGTCTCCTTTGCATCACGCACTTGTCCATCCCCAGGACCTCAGGCCCACAGACAGGAAGACAGCCTCTGTTTAATGGAAAGGCACACTCTCCCTCCCAATAATTACTTAGGGATAGGGATGCAAAGGTCCCCATGGTTAGCTGTTGGCATTAAAACTTCTGTTACACCTAGTAAGTGCCTTTGCTTCCTCTTCCCTTCCCCTACCAAGGGACATTTGTCATCTCAGAAGCTTGAAATTCATTTCAAGTAATTTAATATTCTTCAGTTACAAAAGTAATATACGCTCAGCATTTGCAATAAAAACCCTCCAACAGTTCAGTTGGGCATAAGGTACAAATAGATGTCCTCTTTCCCTATACCAAGATCAATTTGATTTTTAGTGCTTCTTTCTAGAAATGTTACACACAAACATATGCATGCACAACACACACATATATTTTAATAATTATATAAACAAACTGCTCCATTGCTTACTTTCAATGTCCCTTCATTCACTTTTTATATATGGTAACATTACCCTTTGTGGTAAAGAATTCTCTGAAATTTGACAAATGGCTACATAGTCATATAATCTTCTCCACCATTAAGAACATAATTATCACAATTTAATTTTGTAAAATAAGATGCATATTAGACATTTTCTCAGAAGTATATGAAGAAATCGCTTTTGATTCAGTGTTGTGTGATATTCCATTACATGGATGTACCATAATTTATTCACCCTCCCCCTCGTGATGGATGTGGAAATAGTTTCCAGATTTTTACCTTTCCAAACCAATATTACAACAAATATACAGTGCTTACACATAGATACTTGCACCCTTGTAGATTTCTACAGGATTGTATTCCTACCAGTGGAATTGCTTGGTCAGAAGATTGTCTATTTTTATTGTCATAGATAGTACATTACCAAATTCTTCTTCCATAAGTATATGCCAGTTTACATTCCAACCTACAGTCCATGAGCGATCCTGTCCACATTAGGTGTCATCAGATGTTTAAGTATCTGGCAATCTGCATGACAGAAAAAAATTGTAACTTGTTTTAATTTTCCTTGCTCTAATTTTTCATGAACTTGCCCATTTTTATGGGTTTATTGAACACTTTTGCTGTAAACTGCTTGTGAATACTCTTAATCCTTTATTCTCTGAAGTTTATCTTTTCCCTCCAGTGCTTACAAGAGCATTTTCCTTAAAACCAAAAAAAAGATTTTTGTGATGTATGTTGCAAATGTATCTCCCAGTTTACCCCTTGCTTTTTATACCAGTGCAAGAATAGACAGATTAAATCAACAAAATAGAACAGAAAGTCTGTAAGTAAAGCCAAATGTGCATAAAAGCTTTGTTGGACTAGAAGTGGGGGACTAGTAAACCATACTAATTCAATGGATACATTGCATTTAATAACAATAAGGTTTGTACCATTTGGAAAATCAAGCAAAAGCTTGTTCCTATCTCCTTACAGTAAAATAAATTCCATGTGAATCAAAGACTTAAATATACAAACAAAAATAAAATCACAAAAATTCTAGAATATTTTTGAGTGGGAAAGACCTTTTAAGCAAACATATGGAAAGGCATAAGGAAAAGGTTGATAATTTTAACCACACACAAAAAGTCTTAAATTTTGTGCCAAAAAAAAGTATTTAGAATTATCCATGGTGTGTGATTTTCCATGGTCTCTCTGTGGCTGGAGATTGTTCTTGCTCATGTTCCTCATGGGTCAAAGAGACCAGGTCATGAGTTCCTCGGTCCTAGAGAGACTGTGATTCCCAGGAAAAAGCTGGGAGCAGAAGGCACCATAGGCTCTGCCTCCTCCTCCTCTTCCTCTTTCCTGCACCCCCAGTACTTGCTGAACAGTGGCCAGGGCCCCAAACTGCATGGCCCAGGAGCCCGAAGACCCTCTCTACTGCCTCAAGGCTGCCAGCCCTTCCTGCCCTCTGGCCAGGAGACCTTGGCCTGGAGCTCCATGGTGGAGCTGGATCCCAGATCCAGCCTGAAGTCTTCCCTGGACAGCCGCAGCCCTGGGGATCAGGGTAAGTTTGCAAAGGTGAGGGACCTGATTAAGGACAACGAAGAATCCTACACTGTGGCCCAACTACAGATGACAGACCCAGAGGGCCAATGCCTGGGCCCTCCCTGAAGGTCTGCTTCGGCCCACCCTACCCTAGGGACCTCACCAACCCCACTGCCCCCAGTGAACCTGGTCCTCAGACTGCTGATGGGTGGCAGCTTGTTCTCTGACCAGCCCATCCTATAACCCCGCCCCCACTGGTTTCCTGGAAGGTGGATCCGACCATCTCTTGGGGACAAACCCATGTTACACAGCCATCTCCGGAAAGCTATGTTTGCTCCCCAGGGAAGGGGATGGTTTATACTTCTCTAGGGACGACTGCGTCCTGGAGAAAGATGATGAACTGCGGACTGGAGATCTATCTCCACTCAGGGCTCAGGGCTAAACCCTCTTGGCCCTCCACCCACAGAACCGTCCTATCACCCCTCTGCCTTCGAGACGGAGCCGTCTTCGGACTGGGAGCCCATGGCTGAGTCCAAGGAGCAGGCCAGTCCCGGCAGGCCCAACACCAGCCCAGGCCCGGTGCTGGGCAAGGCGCTGGTCAAAGGCCTGCGCGACGGCCAACGCGTGCAGTGGGAGGTGAGCTTCGAGTTGGGGGCCCCCGGCCCAGAGCCGGGCAACGAGGGAGACGACGACCTGTGGAATGAGACCTTCCACCACCTGGCGGCCCGCGCGGTCATCCGAGACTTTGAGCAGCTGGCGGAGCGGGAGGACGACATAGAGCAAGGTGAGCCCTTCAGACCCGCCAGGTGAGCCCCGCTCGAAGCCCCGCCCATATCCCCGCCCACTCTCTCGCTCGGGCCCCGCCCACTCTCCCGGCCCCGCCCCGCTCTCAGCTCTTCTTGCGAGGCTCTAGCACCCTTCTCTGCGTGGTGTTGCCACCCCTGGGGTTCTACCTCTCCAGCCCCACTGCTGCCTCCCTCACCGCCCCTCTCCCCCGAGCTCTGTACCCTCTCCTTGATCCGCCCAGTCCACCGACATCCAGGCGCCTCTCTTCCCCCCGCCCTGGGCCTCTCCAACCCCCACCTGCCCCGCCAGGTGCTGCTTCTCTCCCGCCTCCTTCCCCTCCTCTCCCATCCTAGAGCTTCTCCCCTGCAGCGACCCCCTAGGACTCTGAACACTGAACTGTGGCCGCGGCCTTTCTTGCTCGGGAGTGCTTGGCACAGACTAGCAGAGAAGCTGACAGCAGTTAAACAATTACACAAATAATTAATTGAGTGCATTTGTCCTGAGTGCAATTAAGCAAAAGTACAGGGCTCGCAACCCATTGTTTAACAGGGATGGCAGGGAGTTAATTTAGTCCAGACACTGGGACGGACTTCCCTCCGAAAGCCGTTGGGGGATCTTGATAGAGCTCACATAAGAAGAGGCAGTGATGCAAATGCAGAAGCAGCACTGTACGATTTCTGTCTTTGAGGTGTATGCTTTATGTGCGTCATATGCAGTGTATATTTGATGTGTACTTTCAATAATGCACGTTATTATTATTTTTTTTCTTCCCGTGAGTACTTCACCTTGCGGTTTATACAGCATTTGTCAGGCTTCATGCTCTGGGGCCCCTCGCCCAGCCTTCCGCAGGAGGCAGCCAGGAGACTGCTCGCTGCAGCTGAAAGCGGGTCAGGGTCACCGCACCAGGCCCTGTACCCACTGTATGACCCTGTGCATTTGCTCTCTGTCTCTGATTTTCAATCTTCTTGGCAGTTTCATGGGTAAGATCAGTGGTTTGCACCCACCCATCAGGGAACCTATGAAGTCCTGAGGCAAGTTTCTCAATAGGCTTTTGCAAAATTAAAATATAACATACAGACACTCTAGCATTTAAAAATAACTACAGTTATTCAAGAGAATTAACTATCTTTTATTCTAAGATAATGACTTACTTTTCTATTAGAGTATCTTTTCTTTTGTGAAATAATGATGTGAAATGATGAAGGGTTTTCTCTTAATGTCTTTAGTTAGCGAGTTGGCAACCCCTAGATTTTAAGGCCTATATAATCCCAAAGATGGAGATCACTGGCCACACTCTGCTTTCAGCTTCCAAAACTTCCCTGTCAGGCAAGACTTTGGAGCCCAGACAGTAACCCCTGACCCTCCCCCTGCAGGGTCCAGTCGCCGCTACCAGGTGAGCGCCGTGCACACCAGCAAGGCCTGCAATGTCATCAGCAAATACACAGCCTTCGTGCCCGTAGATGTGAGCAAGAGCCGGTATCTGCCCACGGTGGTGGAGTACCCCAGCTCAGGTAAGGCACAGGGCAGCTGAGCACCCCCGAGGGCCATGAAGGACCCCAGGGACTGGAGAAGGGGCTAAGATACAAGGAGGGGTGCCAAGTGGGGCTTTGAAGCAGGAAAGCCCCCTCCCCAAAAATAGTTTGACTACCACAGGATAAGGGATGTGTGGGATGCCATCCCCGCCTTTTCCCCACCAAATGAAAATAACTTTATTTTTTTCCAGTAAGGTCAATGAATGATATGTGCTCCTTGTAGACAATTCCAAAATATAAAAAGACACAAGATTAATGAAAATGACAGGACTAGCAGTCATCTGGAATGGGCACTGGTTACCTCCCTGGTGTAACCATCCTTCTAGATTCCTCTTGATGAATATCTATGTGTACAGAAGTCAAGACAGGGGCTGGGGATTTAGCTCAGCGGCAAAGCGCCTGCCTGGCAAGCACAAGGTCGTGAGTTCGGTTCCCGGTACCAGAGGGAAAAAAAAAAAAAAAACAGAAGTCAAGACAGATAATGTTACATGCATTGGGACATAACGTTATGTGCTATAGTTTACAAAATACAGATATGTAAAAGTCTATCCTTGAAGTGAATCTATATCCTGATTAATAGCTGTGGTGTGCTCCACTTCGGCACAATACTACTTTTTAAGGTCCAGCTTGCTAGTGTTTTCTGAGGGCAGGGTTCCCTAAAAATACTCTGAGGAGTTCGGCTTCATCTCTCTTCCATCCTCCCCTATCAGCAATGTGCTGGGACTTTAGGGTCCTGTCTTGTGGGACAGGGAGCCAGAACACGGGTCTCTGCGCCAGCAATCACAGACAGGGTAGGGTGTTCCAAGAAAACCAGCCTTTTAGCTAACTAGAAAACATTGCTGCTTCCTGAACATCTCAGCAGTGGCAAGATAGGGATTCTCATCCACATCCTTCAGACAAGGAAACTAAGGCTCAGACTGGTTCAAATCCCTTCCAGCTGAAAGAAATGGGGCTAGGACTGAAACTCGGGTCTTTGTGACTCCAAAGCTCATGGTGTTATCTTGGGAGAACCGCAAGCCTGAAGCCAGAGTGATTCCCACCAGCCTTGGGGAAGGGACAAGGACTCTGTACCCAGTCTATCCCTTCTCTTTGTCCTCCGAGAAGGTGTCGCACATCGGACGGTCAGCTCCCGGGTCCTGACCCGACAGTGGAGGAGCACATCTCCTGGCTTTGGCTGGCCCCAGACCACGCTGGGAGAAGACTTGGCTGTGGGAGATGGCACATTTCAGACCCGAAGTAAGAGTTGCTTTGGGTGTGTTCAGAAGCCTGAGTCCCTGAAGTTGCTGCCCCGTCTTGTCCAAAGCCCCAGAGACCCCTCTGTGACTCTACTCTGGGCCAGGCCTCCCAGGCTCTCTGAGGCTTAAGGTGATCAAGACACTGCATAGCTCAAGTCTAGCACCATTAACATGGTCTCTAGACAGAGAGAGCTGCTGGGGGTGGAGTAGGGGGAGGCTCACCCTACACATCCCCTCTTCCAATTCCCACTGACCTAGGGACTGTTCCCACCCTCCAGCCTCTGGGTCCTTCCAGGCTCCAAATGCCAGCAAACCTAATAAACATGGGGCGGGGAAGCAAGAAGCAAAAAGGCAGACCCATCTGTTTGGGTCCCACCATCTGTTTTCTTTCAGGACTCTCAGCAGCTTCCTCTTGGCCCTCACCTGATTTCCTTGTGCCTGCAGCTTAAATCAAGAGCCATAATTTGCCCTTTGTGTGACCTCGTACTGATTTACAGGATGACTATTGTGCATCCTGCGTGCACGCATCTTTCTGGCTCTCTAAAGGCAGCCTAAGTGCTGCACTGGTCCTGACCCCTTCCTTGTGCCTCACCAGCATAGAGAAGATGTCTGGGGATCCCTCCTGGCCACCAGCCCAGCCAGCCACGCTTAAGAATGTTTGATCGAAGGGACTAGGAAGTCCTCACAGACACTGATGGGTAGAAAAGAAACACTGTGGGAGGTGGCGGACACTCAGAGTTTCTCTTCAAAATAAGAGTTCTGCCAACCCCTTGGTCCCACTGGCTTCCGGACCCAGGGAAACCCATTCTGTCCCAGAGCCACACTGAACTTCCCAACCACACTTTCCTTCTCCCCCAGTCAGCTCTTGGTGACCTGTGGTTTCCATCAAAATCACTTCAGTTAATCTGACCTCCGAACTATTATTCCTCCCCACACCCTTTCCCTCCCTCAGGAAGATGTGGCCAATACCGAGTTTTCTATGTGCCGGGCACTGTTCTAATCATTTGGAGTGCCTCACAAACATCTCAAGAGTTTCTTTTATGGTTCCCAATTTAAAATGAGATTAAGTGATTCACGAAGGTCACACAGCTCATGTGGGATGGAGCCAAGGCTTCAACCCAGTGTTTGTCCCTGAGGCCCTGAGGTTCAGTATCCTCCTGTTTGCGTCCTGGTTGCTTGGGTAATTCAGTCATTCTGTCTGTAGTTCACCCTTGTGCTGGATGCTCAGGATGATGTGAACTCCCCCCTGGCTAATGGTCTCATGCTGGGAGACAGAGGCTTTGCTCACCATATTTGTACATGAAGCTTTTCCTGTAATTTGGACCTTCTCGTATAATAGGTTGTCCCATTCGTCTAACCCTTGAAATAGCAAATATAAGAATAATCACCTCAAGTATGCATTTTGAACATAGGCTATGCAATTATTATTCCCATTCTGAAGATGGGGAAACTGAGGGTCAGGGCCCTCTACCAAGTCAGTGTCATGTTCTGGTGCCCACAGAGAGTTAGCATGAGCCACCTCTTCAGTGAGGCAGAGACCTGGGGAGAAGATGACTAACCTTCACTCCAGCCCCCCGCCCACCCTGAAGCCCCTGACCTGTGCCTGCTTCCCTGTTGACTCTGCAGTTGTGGGTTTTATTGGGCACTTAGCTGAGCACTAAGCACTGTGTATTATCTCATTTAATCCTTACAAAGATACTGTGAGATAGGTACCATTAGCCTCGCTTTGCAATCAAAACTTATAAAGAAAATAACTTTAGCAGAGCTCCCCCAGAGCTAGTCAGTGGGAGAGTTGGGATTTGAAGCCAGACATGGGAAGGGAGAAAGGGAGGGCTGAAAGAGGTCAGGCCTCACTGATTTTCCATGTTGTAGCCACAGAGGAAAGCCCAACCTCCGCCTTCAGTGAGCTCCTGTCCCACAGCCGAGAGAAGCACACAGCTTCGGAGGGTAAGTGGCAGCCAGTGCAATCTGTCTTAATGAAGTTGGTGACCGTACTTGGTCCTGGCATCAGGAGAGGGTCTGAGTACCAACAAGGCTCTGCGTCCCACCAGTGCCTCAGAGTAGCCCTGTGAGAGGTAAAGAGGGTCCTCCCAATTTAAAGATGGGAAAACTGAGGCTTGAAGAGGGGAGGTGATATGCCCAGTGTCACACAGTGAGTTAGTGACAGGCAGGTCTCCCGAGTCCAGCTGAGGGGGTCACTGAACCACTGCACTCTGCCTAGCATCCTCCAGCAGTGTCCCCATTTGGGGATGAAGGAGGTGAATGTAAGGCTGTCGCCACCCCCATAAGGAGCCTCCCAGAAAATGCCAGTGGCCACCTGCCGAGGACACGCGGAAGCCAGTTTCTTACCTATTTCTCCCTTCCATATACCAACTAGGTCAGAAACGACCTTGCAGCTGGTTAGCCCAGGTCCCTAGGGACATAGGAAGCCCCTGCCCCACTAAAGGCCTCTGTTTCCCCAACTAGGTAGTGAGCAGTTCGACAGGTCACCTGTCAGGCCTCACTCTGTCCCTCTGTGGCCCTCCAGGTCCCCTGCACAGCCTGCCTACCAACACCCTTTCTTCCACGAAGGCCTCAGAGACTCTCTTTGGATCCAAGTAAGTGGGACTTCTGGTGAGGGCCTGGTGCTCTGCTGCCCCTCACCTCCCTGCGGGTGTTCCGAGCTGGGAAGCCAGAGGCAGCCCAACCTAACATGGGAATGGGTGCTAAGAAGGCCTCCTGCCCAGAGGTATCACTGCTCTCCAGGTCTCACTGTCTGACCCACAAACACACTGCAGTTCACCTCCCACCGATCTGTGGTCTCTTCAAACATAAATGCTCTCGGAGGCCTAGTCTAGGATTCTTCACCTCACTGGGCTGGGCAAGGTTACAATATCAAAAAAAGGAACAAACCCACTCCTTGTCCTGCTGCTAATGACTTGCTGAGGGACGTGGAGGCAGATGCCATCCTGTCTCCTCAGGCCTCCATTTCTCCAGCCACCAAGGGGGGAGGTGGAGGAGGCCTTCTGCTGGATCCTTCAGGCCCTGACTTTCGGAGGCTTCTGGGCAGGTCCAAGGGAGCTGGGACGACCAGGGACACCTGACTCTCCCCTCACAGGCTGAATTTCAACAAGTCCAGGCTGCTGACTCGAGCAGCCAAGGGCTTCCTGGGCAAGCCGCTGGTCAAGGCAGCAGAGTCCACCTCAGGAAGCCAGAGCTTTGACTATGTCCCTCTGGTGAGTGCCCCAGACCGTCACCCACCCTACTGGGCAGCCGGGCCTTCCTGGGGACCCTGCCTATTTGTGCCCAAAAGAAAGGGAGACCTTGCCTTAAGCATAGATCCTCTGCTTTCTGGGGCTCCTGGAGCTTCCCACCCAAGCATCCAACAGGGCAGAGGGAGCTGACATGAGTCCCCTGCACAGGGGTCCAGGGGTGTTGCTGGAAGCTAGTGCCAGTGTCACAAAACTTCCGTGCCATCTGCTGTCTCCCCTTAAAAACTCCTGGGATTTTGCATTCGGCTCCATCATCTATGTGTGTCTGTTTTTCAGTACATAAAAATAAGCCTTGAAATGACTCACAAGCGAGTAAAATTAACACCCCAGGGACATGCACCGTGTTTAGCAAGTGGCTCTGCAGACGCCCCAGCACGCTGTGGCAGGAGAGAAGTGCAGGTCTGGAGTGGGCTTCTCCGAACTGAGAATGAAACAGAGGGATCCTGCAGCAGCTGGGGCCTTCCAGGGCTTAGAGATCACAGGGTGCTCAAAGGAGGGGCATCGTTTTTTCACTTCACGGTACCCAAGTGTACAGTGTCATTTTGAATCCCCAGATATCCAGGGCAACAGAGCACTCAGCAGGTATTTATGGAGTCAGGCTCAGTGCTAGACACCGGGGAGACCTCCTTGAACTAGAGAAATGTAATCCTTAGACTCATGGTGCTAAGTGTGCAGTGAGACCGAGACAAGGAACCCAGCAATTCTATACTCGGGAGCTGTGAGAAGACAGGTCTGGTTTGGAAGGGTTTGGAGGAGGAAGGCAGGGTGGACCCAAGCCTGATACGGTGGCAGTATAGCACCAAGCATGACTTCCTGAAGGAGGGAATGGTTAAGCCAAGATCTGACAGATGAATTAGAAAGGAGAAGGACAGCTAGATGGCTAGAGTTTGAGTTTGAGGAATGAGTCCCAGACAAACAAGGCCAGGTCAGGCAAGGATTTATAAACTGTCTTCTGGACTTAGGCTCCGAGAGATAACTGAAGCCGTGGAACGGAGCCTCCAGAAAGTATGTGCTCTGTGCCTCACTGAGATCCCTCAGGCGCACAGCAGAGGGACAGAGCCGGGGAGAAGAGGACAGAGGACAGAGAAGCAGGGATCGCATGAGGAGGAGGCAGTGGGAGGACTGCAGAGTGATTTAGGCAGTAGGCCTGTTGGGACTTAGAAAGGGATGGGTGTATGTGGACAGGATGAGAGATGGACAAGCCGGTGTCTTCAGGATGGCCCTGGACAGTCCCCATGGCCACGCTGGGCCCACCTGTCCAGGGTGAGGGGCAGGTGTGGAGCAAAAATACTGAGCTGGGTTTGGAGCGTGGTCCACGAGCAGAGGCTATAGTATAAAGAATAGGGAGGCCCATTGGCCTGTGTCTCCTAAAATTCCCCCGCGCAGGCAGGCTGGGGTGGGAGAGGACAGAGTGAGCTCTGTGGATCAGGGACTTCTGCGTGGCCTGGGGCTCCATGGGCTGAAACGTGTGAGGCCCACTGAGGGGCTCCCCCTCCTACAGGTGTCTCTGCAGCTGGCCTCCGGCGCCTTCCTGCTCAACCAAGCCTTCTGCGAGGCCATCCACATCCCCACGGAGAAGCTCATGCGGACGTCGCCTTTCTCTGGCCACCGAGTGTCTCTCTCTGCCCGCCAGCTGTGCAACAACCCCTCACCTGGGCATCTATCCTGCGACAGCATCTCCCTGGAGCCTCTGGCCGAGGGCAGGCCAGGCTCGGAGCCCGGGGAGCTGGCGGAGCACACAGGAAAGCTGTGGGCCACGGTGGTGGGGCTGGCCTGGCTGGAGCACAGCTCTGCCTCTTACTTCATTGAGTGGGAGCTGGTGGCTGCCAAGGCCAACTCGTGGCTGGAGCAGCAGGAGGTGCCCGAGGGCCACACACAAGCTGCGCTCAAGGCTGCTGCCCGCCAGCTATTCGTGCTCCTGCGGCACTGGGATGAGAACCTGGAGTTCAATATGCTCTGCTATAACCCGAATTATGTGTAGAGGGGAAGGGGTTGGAAAGGAAGAGGGATGGGCCATTTTGGCCTGGTGGGGGAACTATTTGATGCTGTAGCCAATATGCTAAATGCCAGAAAGAGCCCTGGACCGGCAGTTGGGAGGCCTGAGTTCCATCTCAACTTTACCACCACCTAGCTGTGCAACTTTAAGTCAGTCCCTGTCCCTGTCTGGGCCTCAATGTCCTTATCTATCAAATAAGAGGCTGAGATGAGGCAGTAGGGTGAGATCTTTAAATGGTTCAGATGTTCCTTTCTGCCCAGACTTTCAGGCAATCCTGGGGTTTAACGCTACTAGGAAATGGTGAGAGAAGACACAGTCAAACCTGACTTTTCTCTGGAGGAAGACCATGAAGGCATGGAGTAGAGGCAGCATTCCCCCCAACAAAAGGGCCAGTGAGAGAACCAGGGACTAAAGTAAACAGACCTACAAGCCTACATCCAGGCACTAAAGTGACTACAAGGTCCTCTGTCTGTTACTCTGGGGATAGGCTTTTGTCTCCAGGGTGACAGTCTAGGACACCCCACTTCCCTCTTCAAAGCCAACTGGAGAAGCATCCTTCCCAACACTTTTCAAAGTTACTTGGGGGTGTTTCCCTGGGCAAGGAAACTTTTTTAGTTCTGGTTTGCAGATTTCTGGGGCTTCCTAAGGAGGGGTGATGGACAGAGACCAGGGAGATAGAGACCCTGCAAGCCAAAGGCTTAGACTGAAGCTTCAGTCTGTGCAGAAACAATCCCCCCACCCAAAAAAAACTAGACATGCTCACAGAAGTCAGGGAAGACAGCAGATGATATCTGAAATAATGCACATACTTTCAAGAACTGGATATAGTGGAATCCTTGTACTTGTGTTGAGAGGCTAGAGAGGCACATCCAATGGCAATGCATTCTGGGATAGTGGGGTCCCTCTCTAGCCAGTCCGTTCTGTGGGAGAGAGGGTATCTTTGCAACAGAAAACAGTGCTTGACTCCAGTGCATTTGGGGATGGTAGCTTCAGCTAGGTGACATGATTGGTTTGGCAAAATGAAAGAATCATGAAACATCAAAGCTGGAACCCGTGGGGCTCCCCCACCCAGGCCCACCACATGATCTCGTGGATTAGTGTGCCCAGCCTCTGATTCCCTCATGACTAGGGTCAAAGTGCCCAGTTTCCATTGCCCTATAGACTCCTCAGACGTGGACCTGGGCCCTCAGGCTGAATTAATACACCCCAAACCCTTCTTTCTAAAGCCTTAGCCTCTCCTCATCAAATTCCTTTCCCAGAAATGGTCCAAGGGCTTAGACATGAAGCCCCACAGACATCCCTTTTTGGGGAGGGGGTGGTTGTGGCTCTGGCACAAGTCCCAGCCTCATAAAGACTCAAAGAATGGCCAGTCTACCGCAGGGGCCAGAGGGAGGCAGGAGGCTCCTGCAGATTGTCAGCAGGTGTGCATGTGACCGGAGGTGGTGCCCTGGCCCTGCCCCATTCTGCCTCCCACCAAGACGCAGCAGCTCCCTGCAGGGCCCCTGCAGCCCTTAGTGATCCCTGCTTCATTGGCTGGCTCTGCTCCGCTGGGAGGAACCAGCCAGCCAGTCCCTGACACTGTGCCGCCGTGACTCCAGTGGGACAGGATGCCAGGCTGGGGCTGGACTCAACATCAGGGCCATCAAGGACAAGAGTTTTAGGTTGTCTTATTCAAGGCCCCAAATAGGTGTGAGAATGGCAGTGTCATCCCCCTGTGCTCCTCCCTCCCCTCCCCCCATAAGACCCCCCACTTGTTTAGCCCTGAAGCCTGCAGCCCTAGCCTCAGGGCAAGGATGGAGGGGGCGGCATTCACTTCCTGGCCCACCACCGATGGAGAAATCGTCAGGCTTCGAGTCTGAGTGCCTAGGCTCAGATCTCAGCCTTAATTAGTTTGGGCAGTGGCTTCCTCTCACTGGGTGTTCTGGAGCTGGGGCTCTGTCTTCTGCTTTGACACTCCCAGATGGTCTGCCTCTAAGTTTCTCCCTCTGGGTGAACATGGATTGGCTCCACTTCTCCATGTGACCTTGAACAAGTCACGTGTGAGCCCTGGGCCTCTTTTCCCCCTCTAACATGAATAGATTGTACCAAGCTGTCCAGCCTCTCCCCCATTTCCCCATGAGCCTGATTCTTGCTCTTCAGGCCTTAGTATGGTCAATGACTAGGGTTTGAGGCAGGCCAGCCTCTAGGCCCAGGATGACCAGTATGTAAGATGCCTGGATAGAGTGACCCAGAAACCCAGCGAGGTGGGGAACACACCGGCCCCTTCTCCAGCGAGCTCCTCAGACTGCGCCCCTGCACCTGTGTTTCCCAGCCAGTCCCCGGCCTGCAGGCAAAAAGAATGGCATCCCCCGTGCCCTCAACCTGCACTGGCATTTGCCACGGCTGATGAAGGGAGTAGTTGGTTCAAGATCAGACCTGCTGTGTTTTCCTCTGCTCTTCTTATCTGTGAGAAAGCAAGGGTTCCCTTCCTCCCTTCTAGCTGGTTCACCTGTCAGCAAAAGTTTCTGGAAGTTTCCTTTAAATCCTAAACACACCCAGCTGAGCCCCACCCTTATTTGAAGGCAGGATTTCTTCTTCTGTCGGCTACTGTCTCCCTCTTTCTTCCTTATCTGGGACTCCCAAGGACAGGGAGTGAGGAAAGGGGTCTCTCCCACCTGCTAGAACCTTGTGACACCACAGCCCTCGCCACTCCAAGTGTCACCTCTCACTACTTGCACATTGTCACATCTCCAAGTGACCCCAAACGTAAATATATTCAGCATCCTCAGTGCCCTGGGGAAGGAAAGGGAAGGAACTGCTGCCCCTAGAACAGACCATTTTTTTTATTACCACAGCATTTGAGAAAGGTCTTCTCTTTCCCCCCTCCCAGGGACTAAAGAAGTCAACATAACAGCAACAAAAATGTTCACATCCCTCAGCTGTAACATAGCACACTCCACAATGCCAGTGTAAAAATAACTAGGGCAGAGGCGTGTGTGGCATTTTGCAACTGGATAATCGGATCCACAGAGATCTGTCCCCAGGTCGGGAGCTTGGCAGCCGTGCCTGGCCGGGCCTCCAGCCCCCTACTATGGAGCACCCTGACCCTTATGTCCAGCTTGCCCCAGGCCGCTGACAGCAGCCTGTCCACAGCACTGCCTCCCCAAGTCACCCGACCAAGGGGGGCTTCCTCCTGTCCATGCTGCAGTTCTCCTTGGCTCGGGGCCAGCTGCCTTGAACTTACAGCTGCTTCCAAGGCAAAGCGCCTCCTCTCAATGCGCTGACTGTGGCGACGTGCGTGGTATCGTTTTACTATTTGCCCAGGTGGCTTTGGCTCAAGTGGCATGGCCGGTGCTTGTCCCTGTCAGAGCCTCAAGTGCCTATAACATGCTGTCCTGTCCCTTCACCTGCACACAGTAATGTCCCCACAGTGCCTGTGACACTTCTTGTTCTTGGAATATACATCACCTTCTTGCCCGGTGGCCAATTATGTAGATGTGGAGGGCCTGGACATCAGCTGTCTAATGCCCACAATCCTTTGCAAACCCTGCCCTGGGGCTGTTTGTGTCTGTTCTCAAAGGAATGGCTTCTTTGCATACGGTGGCTGCTGTTCTCCTGTAGGCTCTGAGCTCATAAAAACTGTCAACATGGCAAAATTATCCTCATGTCTGCTCTTTTGTTCTCCAAGCCCATTAATGCTTGGCTTTCATTGATTCAGGGATCTGTCTGCCTTGCTTAGTGAGTCACATGTGTCTTGGTTTGGGTTCCTCCTATGGTGGCCAACTGTCCCAGTTTGCCTGAAACCGGGAGAGATTGCCACAGGGTGGGACTTGCAGTTTTAAAACTGGGGTAATCCTGATCAAACTGGTACAAGTTAGTCACAGCAGTGTCCCAGCAGGGCCTGAGAGAAGGACTAGGGCAGTGTACTTGGGAGATCCCAAGAAATACCCTTAGAGAAGCCCGGGAGTGAAAGAGAGATGTGAAGGACACTGATAAAGGGAATGTTACCTAGCAGGTTACTGCTAAGGTGTCAGCGCTGGAATGGGATGTGTATGTACCAGCTCCACTCAGTCATTTGCTGAAGCTGCTCTAGGGTACCCATTTCTTGGTGCTGCTGGTCTACCTCAGGTGCCCCTGCCAAGCAGGTTCCTGTAGCCTGAGAAAGCCACTAGGCAAACAAACGCATGTCCTGACAAAAGGAGAACATGACGCAATGTCTAACATGATCCCCCTCAACCCCTGCAAATAACAGAAACAAACATGCAGGCTTTTTGCAGATTGAAAGTTCCAGACACACTTTATACTATTCCAAGACCTCTGAAATGATAAATGACCAGGAAGCATCATTATTGAAATAGAGGAAATCCAAATGACAAAAGGTAAACTCATATTTCCTGTACTTGTGATTTAGTTTGAAATCAGCAAGCTGAACTGTGAAATTGATTTTTTAAGTTAAAAACAAACAAAAAAAAAGAAATGTGGGTACTGGCAGAGGCAGGCCCACGTGCACTGCACCAAAATAAGCCAAGTGGCCACACAGGCAGTGGCAACACCTGCTACCACCTCTCTCCTGGGCTGCTTTCCGCATGACAGATTTTTCTTGGAAGTAATTAATGATCGCCCAGTATATTTATTCACTCAATATATTTATTCAAAAAATAGCATGTTGTCCTAGGATCCACACAAACTGACCCCAAAGTCAAACATAACATCCATTTGGAAATCCTGTAGCAATTTGTGTTGTTTCCTCAAAGACAGAGATTCTTTTGTAGATTTCAGGGAGAACAGTTGACTCAAAAAGGAATTTCCAATAGGCCAAAGACATTTCTGCAACAGGCCAATGGCCCTAACAGGAATGACTTGCATGGCAACAGGCTGAAATTAAACAGTGAACAGAACCCTGCCCACCGGCGTGGCCCTCCCACATGACTGATAAAGGGAATGTTACCTAGCAGGTTACTGCTAAGGTGTCAGGGCTGGAATGGGATGTGTATGCACCAATTCCACTCAGTCATTCACTGAGGTCGCTCTGGGGCACCCATTTCTTGGTGCTACTGGTCTACCTCAGGTGCCCCTGCCGAGCAGGTTCTTGTAGCCAGAGAAAGCCACTAGGCAAACAAATGCAAGTCCTGACAAAAGGAGAACATCACGCAATGTTCCCTTTCACTGCCCCCACTGCAGCTCAAAGCTTCAGGGGACCCAAAGGCCCCTGAACACCTCCCTGAATTATATGAAAGAGACACACTGCCTTTGGAAGAAATGTGCATCTTTGTTCTCCTATTAAGCCCCCTGTAAAAAAACAGGGTGTGTGTGTGTGTGTGTGTGTGTGTGTGTGTGTGTGATTAGCAGTAACCCTCTGCTTAGCCCTCCCACTGGGAAGAACATGCTGAGGAGAAAAGGAGCTCAGGGCTTGGGTTCTCTCCAGAAACCAGTGCCTGAGGTTTCTGGAGCTCCTTGGTGTTCCTTTCTATGGTACCCAGTTCGCTCAAATGTGAACTCCCTGGGCTCAATGTATCGTTATCCTGGTCTGAGATGAGGAGGAAATACCAAGTTGGGTCCTGGATCAGCTCTTCCACACTCTCTAGTTCTGTCACGAAGCCTCCATTGCCCTTATTTCTTCTGAGCATCACCAGGAATCTGCTGATCATAAATCTCTCCTGGAATCCAAATCACCTGTACCCAAAGTCCAGCTCCCCCAGATCCAGTGTCCTGGAGAAAGAAAGGGGCCAACACTCCCCATGACACATTGAGAATGGGTTACCCGGGGTCACACTTTCTGGTCAGGGTCCTTTCTTAGCCCAAGGGGCAGAGGGGCACTAGGATGGCAGCCAGCCCCAGCTCCTGAAGCCCCAGTCAGACGGCCAAAAGGAGGTCATTCACAATGGCTTCCTCAGCCATCCTGGGGAAGGTGCTCTCAAGGTCCTGGGTCCTCCAGGTGGAAGACATGGGCACTCCCAGGTGCTGGCCCAGCCTTCATCTCCCCTACACTGATGGCTTCAGCAACTAGTCTTCCGCAGAACAGGATAGCAAGGGCGGTAGTCTGCCCAGATAGCCTTGGCGCTCAAGCCCCCGGTGCTGCCCTGGCTTTCCAGCAGAGGGCGCTGTGGGCGTGCACTGTCTTCTCAGCCCTGGGCGGTTGCACACTAGCACGCGGGGAACAGTTCAAAAGCTATTCCTGTCCTTTGCCAACAGTCTTTCTTCCCTGCTAAAAACGAGTGCCTCGTGATGGCTAGGAAGCCCACTGAAAGGCTGTGCTGGTAATCTGGCGGGGGGTCCAGATACCAGGCTGACTCACCCGTGGCTGCAAAGGAGAGAGTGACCAGTTGGCCCATTCCTCCTCCCGGTCTTCCTCTCCACCATGCACTCCCTCCCTCTTCCTCAAACCTCATGCAAAGCCCATTTCTTTCCGGAAGCTTTCCCAGACCTCTTCCAGCAAATGGCATGTTTTATTAGTGTGCATGAGTGTGTGTGTGTGTGTGTGTGCGTGCACACACACACATGCTCTGCCTCCCCCATCAGACTGGAGGGTCTCCAAGGGCAGAAAGCTCTTCTGCATCAGACAGGGGAAGTCTCTGATGGAGGAGACTGTTCCCTGTTTGAGCTCTTTGAGCTCCTATCCCACCCATCTTGGCACTCTGTGTGCAGGTAGTAATCAATTTGGAGACAGTCCTCTAGCCCATTCACCCACATCCACTACCCTCTTACCCACTGAGATCACCGCGAGTTCCACAAGCTTTGCATACTTGGCAGCAGAGAGTTCAGCTTTGGTCACGGGAAAGATGGCCTCCTCAAGAGAGAACAGAAAAAGGGGAAGGAATAAAGACTCCGAGTTCCTTCTCTACACTGCCCTCTGCCCTGCCCTCGCAGGTCCCCCTCCCTCCGCACTGTCACTTATGACCCTGCCCTCATCATTGCTCACTTGTGCTATTTGTTGCAGCCCCCACCTGATTCTCGCTGCCCCCAGGTTGGCCTCTTTGCATCCAGGAAAACCTCCTAAAACATGCTCACTGGCCCCCTACCGCCGATGGAGGGAAAGTCCAGCCTCCCAGCCTGATAAACAAAACCTTTCACCATCTCGCCCAACTTACACTTTGGGTCTCCCTTCTTCTATTTTTGGCATGTCACACTGGAGATCATTTCCTCAAGAACTATGACCTGAGTTACTTACTAGATCCCCGATTCTGTTTTAGACTCTGGAATGTGTGATAAATATAACAAAGTCCCTGGCTGGACAGGCTTGCTAGGACTGCCATATCAAACCACCACAGACTGGAGGCTTAAGCAGCAGACATTGTCTCACAGTTCTGGAGGCCAGAAGTTCAACATCAAAGCGTCAGCAGGTACCTTTTGAGGGCCACAAGAGAAGGATCTGTCCCTGGCCTCTCCCAGCTTCATAGCTCCTGAGTTTGCATCAGCAGACCCCAGCCTTCCCATGGCATTCTTGCTACTGCCTGTCTCCAAAGACCCCCTTCTCAGAAGACCACTAGTCATATTGAATTAAGGCCTACTTTGGTGTCCTCATTTTAAACTTAATTTCCTCTTAACGGCCCTATCTCCAAATAAGGTTATAGTCAGAGGTGCTGGAGGCAGAACTTCCACATATGAATTTAAGGAAACAAAATTCAGTCCCCTCAGGGGGCTGATGTTCCAGTGGCGAGAGAGAGAGACCAGAAACACAAGATCAAGTGAATATACACTAGGGCAAAAGTGACAGGGCCGACAAAGTTAGGGGGAGGGAGCAACAGGGCAGGGAAGGCGCTATTCAATCCAGGGTGTTAGAGCCTCCTGACAAAGGGACATAGAAGCAGAGACGCCATCTGCTGTGCTCTCCAAACAAGCTCTTCAAGTCTGCCATGTTTTTTCTGCATGTTGGAAATTTCCAAAGGACAAACACCTATCATCCTTCCAAGTTTAATGTAGAACCTACCTTTCCCAAGAAGCCTTTGATGCCCAGAGCAGATAGGGCTGTGCAACCTCTGTTCTACAGGCCTTTGTAGTCTATGTCAGAGCTGTTACGAGCACTCCTCAGTGCTACCTGAGGGCTTTGTGGCTGGCCGTGTGTCTCCCCCATCAGACTATGAGCAACCTCGGAGCAGAGACGGAGCCTTTGTCATTTCTAGGCCCTCTCGCAACACCCAGAACCTCCTGGATGCTTAGTAAATGCGTGCCCACGTGCAAAGTTAGAGGTCGATTCATTCTATCAATCTTTAGTGAAAAGACTCAGAAGTTATCATTGAGGGACTCCTAAATATCAGACAGTTCCCCATTGATTCATTTGCTCCTCAAACTCTGTTAAGTATCTTTTTGACTCTAGCAACAAGGAAGCTTAAGTTCAGAGACAGCAAGTTATCTGCCCAAGATCACCCAACTGGAAACGAGTGGGGGCCAGGATTCAAATGCAGGTCTGTCCAACTCTGGGGCGAGCCAAGACATTCACTCATTCCTTCACTTCACCTGTGATCCACCCCAGACCCTCACTGTGCTGGCCAAGGGGTGCAAGTAGGGGAGCAGAGGGGAGCTTTTGATCCTCAGTTTGTCATTTTCCCCTGAGTTAAAGGAAGATCTGCTCTTCATTGCTCAGCTGCCAGCACTGACCTCATTCTCCCCTTGCCCAAATCCCCTCTCCCCACACCCTCCTGAGAAGACAAATATAGCCCAGCACTTCCTGTCCCTCCCCAGGAAGGCAGCGGGGGAAGAGGAGGCACAGGACACAGGAGGAGAATCAGTGACACATCTTCCCGTCCTTCTCCTGCTCATCACACACTGCACACTGGGGCTCAGACCCCACTCTCACGGCTGCCCCCAGCAGGAGAAGCTACACGTGGGCCCTGTCCTGGAGGATCCAGGTCCCGGCCACTCCTACTTCTAGCAGTTCCAAGATGTCAAAGCTGGAAAAGGTGCTTAGAAAATACTCTCACTCTGCAGCTGGAGACAGAGACCCAGGGCGGGAGAGGCTGGGACCAAGGTGTGAGAGATCCCCAAACAATTGCCCTTATCAGGTCTAACATCCCCAGTGTCCTCAGAAGGGCCATGATGAAACACAGGTGCATGCAGGGCTAGGTGAGAGGTAGAGATGGGAGAGTCCAGAGGGACAAGCTCACAGGCCGGGTCCTGAGGCTGGGAGTCAGAAGGCAGCAAGAGTGCAAACAAGCTGGAAGGAAGGCTGGACCACAGAAGACAAATCTGGCCCTCTCCCCACTCTGTAGTAAAACCTGAACTCCTGATTCTGCAATAGCAATCCTTCAGCAAAGGCACACATTATTTCAGGTACACAGAGTGTGTGCCCCTAGGCAAGTTGCTTCTCTTCTCTGGGCCTCAGTTTCCACATTTGTTAAGCAAGGAAGTGGATTGGATAACTCCCCAGGTTCCCTCCGGCTCTGGGGCCATGAGTTCAAAAGTCTGATTCCAGACCCCTGAACACTGAAAAACGATGCAGATTATGCCCACCTCACCTCACCTCCTTTGCATCTCTGTCATCTCTTCAGAAGACAGGATACTTCCCCTGGGCCAAAGGTCCCAACTTTCTGGAGCCAGAGCCCAGCAGGGCAGCATCTGGTTCAGGATGGAGAGAAGATCTCTTGGAACCCAGAAAACACACAGAACAAACAGCTATCCCCAATGCCCCAGCAACCACCAACCAGGGAGATTCACCAGACTCCTCCAGAAAGCTCTGCTGCCACCAAGACAATGCCGGCCGGAATTGAAAAATGCAGGAACTTCCGGCCCGCCCCACCAGCCAGCCAACATCTGACTCTGTAACTAGTCACTTCACCTCTGTGACTATTTATACATCCAGAAAATAAGTGCACCTACCTATGTGGCTCCTGAGATGTCCCAGGAGGCCCTGCACAGCGACCTTTAGATCGGTTGTTAGGAAGTGCGGAGGGAAGGGCACAGTTCTCCGGGTTTGAGGAAGCTGCAATTCCCAGCCCGGAGAGGGAACTTCCAGGAAGACACTGACAGGGCCTGGGAGCTGGCAGACACGGTATCTGCAGCGCCAGTAATAAAATTAAACGAATGTCCCTGAGTCAGCCCTCTCTTGCACCCTAGACAGCTGCCTGGAATGGGGTCGTGCAAACTATACAGGACGGTCTGGTGGTTCCAGCCGGGGAACCAGGGTCTACATCAGGTAGCCGCCACCCCCGCAGGAGCGCCAAGGCAGGGCTCAGTTTGTTGTCTTTCTTCTCCCCTCCGGCCCCCTCTCCAAAGCCACGGGTCTCTCAGTCTGTTTCTCGCCCTCCTCCCCACCAGCACCCTCCTCAAACCCCGCCCTCCACCCCACTGAAGCCACATCTGTCCTTAACCCAAAATCCTGCCAATTAAACCGCTCCCTCCGGCTCCCGAGCGGCTGCTGACGTCGGGAGAACCAGGCAGGCGAGGCAAGGCCTCCGCCTACGCTGGTGGAGCGGGAAGGGGGGCGGCTGTGGGTCCGTCCTCCCACGGCCTATCGAGCCCAAGCACCGTGATGCATCCGAACCTCACACTTTGGGGTCCTGCTGCTCTTGCGCGGGGGCGGGGGGGGCCCCTCCAGATCCCACCCAAGCTCCTGCAGCGCCCAGAAGTCCAGAGGTCTCTCGCCTCTGCCTCTACAAGATCCCCCCAGGACTCCGCACCCCGCGCCCCGCGTGCTCCCAGAAGCCTCTGCGCGTGAATTCGGCTCCCCCAACCCTTGCGCCCTCGCCGCCTTCCCTGCCCCGCTGCTCGCGGTCTTCTCTGGTGCTCGGTCCTCGGTTTCCCCGCGCGCACTCGGCGCAGCGCTCCCCGTCCCCGCGAAGGCGTCGCCGTGGGAACCGGGAGGGGGCACATTAAGAGCAATTAGCCTGCGCACAGTTGGCAGCGATACCTTAATAAATAATAGTCTGAAAGGCATGTAAATAAATATTAGAGCGCATTATGCGGGCAGGAGGCGCGGCACGGGCCCGAGGCCGAGGGAGCCCCCTCCGCCACCGCGAAGATTGGCACGTGCCGCTGGCGGCTGGGGATCCCGCTTCCTGGGGCCTACGACTGGCCGCCAGGGCTGGGCAGTGAGGGTGCACAGGGAGGCCCAGAGACACAGCCCAAGAGAGACAGCGAAAGCCACAGCCTGGGAAGGAGAAAACAAGTGAAATAAACAGGAGAGAGACGGTCCTGGAGCGTGAGGATCAAGGTAGGAGGGCGGCAGAAGAGCTCCCATCTAGTTTCCCTGCAGGTGTAGAGGTGAGCGCGCCCACCCTCCTACAAGACGGGCTTTCCTTCCTCTGCCTCCCTGATCTCTTCCTGTCCCCGGTGTCCACACTGCGGGCCCGGACCTCACACCTTCCGGCCTCTTCACACCCACCTGGATCACTCTGGAAATGAGCGTACCTGGCCCAGCGCTGTAGATGTCACCGTGAGTGGAGGGTACCCACGCCTCGCTCCAGCCAGACCCGGCCCCTCTATCCCAGCGCCCGATAACTGCTCTGTGCTCTGAGCCCGGCCCCGTGTCAGCCTGTCCTGTTCAGTAAACTCCAGCACTCTTTCCAGTCCCGGAGGCCAAAACCTTAGACTCGCCTCTCCACCTTGTGAGAATCCTGCCCTCTCTCAGATGTTTCCAGACCCCTTCTGTGTTCACCTGAATGATCTGGGCTCCCTGCTCGCACCAGGATCCCTATGGACAGAACTAAAAAGCTGTGAGTCACATCAAGCCGCTCTCTTGGGCAGATGTATGCAGAAGAAGCCAGGGTCCCCTCCACCTTGCTTTCAGCCCCAAACTCATTCCCTCTGCTCCTGCCTGTGCCTCAAGCATACCAAGCCTATTCCCACCTTAGG